CAATACAACAGGGCTACTGTGTTGTGGCCAAAGTAACCTAAATTAATATGTAAAGAGGTCTGACTCATCTAACAATTCATCTCAACTTATGATATTACTGAGCAAACATGCACCCACGCTAAATGCTATTGGAATATGACACTTTTTTTGTTTGTTGTGGCACATCATCAATTCACTGCCTCTGCTTTTTAAAATTCTGTGTGTTTGAATGAAGTGCCACCTGAGGAGTAATGGCCCTGTAATGCTCCTGTCAGTGGTGTCATCTGTGGTTTGATTCTTCCCTCTTTTCATACAGAGAACAACCCGTAAGAGCCAATCAGCACCCAGTTTAACAAATGAGCAAGTTCTGGAGCTCATCAAGGTAAAAATGTGATTTTTCATGGCTCTCTCACAAAATACTGGAACAGTGTTGACAAAAAAAGTAATTTAATGACAAAAACATAAAAAATGTACATAAATTATTTGTATTTGCTCGTGCAGACATTACCAGTGGAAGAGGTCCAGAGAGAGGTGGAGGGGCTCCTCTCAAGGACAGACATCCAAGACCTGCAGCCCTCGGTGTGGCAGCTAGCATCGACCCTTGTGTCCCGGAGCCTGGATGATCCAGCCTTCTACACCCCCAGCAGCCTGGCACAGCTAGTGCACACGCGGTGCCTCTGCCACAGGTCAGTAGAATGGCAATGGAACCAGGGTGTTTTTTTTGTTTTGTTTTTTTTTTTTAATTAAGAAAGTTGACCCTCAAAACTGTTTATTCAGTATTCAGTCTGCAGAAAGTTTCTGACCGTGCATTTGAACGCTAATAATAGAGTTAGTTTACATGATGAAGCAAAAAAAGGGAATTGAATGATGTAAATTGCATCTCTAAGTGCTAGTAGAGTAGTTCAAACAGTGTTGTTTCTGCTGAATGTGACCATTTGCAATCATGGCTTTCAAATAGTGTGTGTCCTGATCTTGTGCTCCTGGCCCTGGAGAGGCAGGACTACTTCCTGTGTCAGCTCTGCTTGCAGTTCTTCCCAGACATCCCAGAAGCTGTCACCTGTGCCTGCCTTAAGGCCTTTATCAGGTAAAACTGATGGTTTCCAAGTGCAGAGCACTATAAATGAACACTGTCATACAGATGTAAATCAGTGTCATGTGGATATTACCACTAGGGGGCACTAAAGTAACATAATTTTATGATCTAGGAGTTTAATAATCTAAATTATTACCCTGACTCAGTGTCATGTAAGATGAAAAAAAAAATAAACAGTGTGTTGTTCTGGCTTCATCTTGCAGTATGCCAGACGTCGACGCAGAGAAATTGAGCCTGGAGCCTGACAGTGTCTCCGTCATGGAAACCCTAGTGGCCAGAGAGCGTGGCCCGCTCGGCTTGCAGAATGGTTTCAGCCCCACATCCGTTGAGGAGGACCGTTCAGATGGCCTCGGTGGAGGTGGCACCAGAGTAGAAGACAAAGAGAAGACCTCAGCTCCACCAGAACAGAGCTGTCCAGTGGGATTACACAAGGCTGTTTTACTGTATCCTGCCAGTGCACCATCACTCAGACAAAATATATTCACCAACCTGTCACATTTTGTTGTTCAATATGATGCAATCACTTACATTCAGTCCTCCTACATCTTGCGTATCAGTAGCAAGCTTCATGTTATGGTTTGTTAGCATAATTGCAAAATGATTGCTCTTGGTGTGTAATGATTTGAATTTGACACGTATGAGATCTTAACTGAAGCTGCATAGAAATGAGATCCTGCAGACGGCGTACAGCGACTCTTTCCTCCTCCCACACCTGAAAGATCTCTCTTCCCAGCATGTTGTTGTGAGTAACAGCTACTTAATTTTCCCACTTCTCTAATAGAACACAAGCTGCACATTTTTATGACTATAAATGCTTAAAAATATATTTTTACAGTGCTCAATGTTCTTTCTCATCCAATCAGCTTTTCCTCCAGTACCTGCAGTTCCTTTACCTAAAATATTCCCAAGATGCCTTCCCACAGATGCATGGATTGAGATCACCAAGTCTGGCTCAGGTCTGTGTCAGTGTCTAACTAGATAATTAGGGTGGCCACACTTGTCACAGTATCAGCACAGCCTGTGTCTGTCACATCGGGACACATTAAGTGACAAGTCCGGAGGCAGGAGAAATTATTTCGCTGACAGATTGTCAAATACAGACATGGTGGAAGTCAGACTCCCATTTTGACCTGAACTGTGTGCGGTTACAATTATGTTCAGCCACAGTGTATACAGTCAGCGTGAAAAGATGGAGATCAAGAGTTTTTGCAACAGCTTTTATAATTTGTATCAAACATGCAGTTCATCCAGTTTAAAGATAATTTAACTACTAACTCTGTTTTCCTTTGCATTTTATTTTAGATCATGGATTGGGTGTGCTTGCTGTTGGACGCCCATTTCACAGTGCTGGTAATGACTCCAGAGGCCAAAGGCTTACTGCTGAACCTCCACAGCTTTGTGAAGTCTCAGGTAACAAAGTCTTCCCTGTTGTTTGCTTTGTAGCCGCAGGTTAAATATTCTGGAAAACAAATAGCTATTTGTTGTGACTTTATTATTATGGTTTTAATATATCCAGGGTTTATAGTAGCGACTTAGACTCCTTCTTGTGTCCTCAGGTGAGACTGGTTTCTGAGCTTGGAAAGATTGAGAGCAGCCTCCAGGAGCTCAATAAGATGAAGGTGAAGAAGGACGTCGGACAGTACTCCATCGAAATCATTGAGCTGTTTTAGAGTGTTTCTACTTTTAATAAATCATTCATCACATTGTCTCCTTCCAGCTTTTCACCTGTAGTGGTTCCAACTTTGTATAAATGTCCCAAATGATGTAATATGAAGTGCTTTTGGCACAGCTGCCAGCCATCAGAACTCAAGATGCACGAGTTTCACTGTATATGAATTATTGGTGTAATTCAGGCATTGAATAAGGCGCAGGTGTCTTGAAACCATGTAAACATGTTTAAGATGATAAAACTTAGACAGTTAAGATAATATAATTTGCATGATGAATGAAATGCTCAATGCCAAGTTGGTTAATAGGGGGTTTGTGACGTGCAAAATCTGCCTAATGTAACGGCGGTAGTGTGGGACTCTATCTTTGAACGCATAATTGTGAAAGTGAATGGCTGTGACTTTGTACAGGATTTTCCACAGGAAAGTCTTTTATTTTGAATACAAATATATAACTAAAACAACTGCAAATCCATGTGTGACTTTATTATTATAAAATGGTGCCATCACATACCTGTGCATTAATATGGCAAGTATTGGAGTAAGAGGTGTTTGTCATGATTTCTGCACATTTTTATTAATTTGTATTAATATAGGATACATATTTGCGCCGCTGTGGTTAACAGAGGTTTGACTCCTCACTTGCTGTATAGAGACACCCGGGGCCTGGCGGTACAAATTTGCGTTTTCGTGAAGGCATGACCCGCCCCACTCTCCCTCTGATTGGCTAGTACTCTTTGCCTTCATAAGTTGGATTGGTTAGGTTTAGGCAAGAGGTGTGAGATTGGTTAGGTGCCGGACTGTCAGGGTAGACCAATGAGAGGCAGGATGGCAAATTCGCAAAAGATTTAGACTGTCGCGAGGGTTATGAGGAGAAATACCTACAAGCGACGAACATTTAGCAAGTTAAAAAAAAAGGTAACATGTTTGTTTAGGTTGTAAATAGCTACCGTGGCGGGCTCGGCGAAGTATATCGGTCGCAAAAATCTTCGCTCGAGTTACCTATCGCTTTAACAAAACAACAGTGGGCGTAATCATGACTATCTATGTGTAAAGCAAAAAAAAAAAAAAAACCCCTAACGTTGTCGGCAGGATTCGAACCTGCGCGGGGAGACCCCAATGGATTTCTAGTCCATCGCCTTAACCACTCGGCCACGACAACGGTTCTTTCCCCCAGTAGCAGATGACGTTATGAATCAAATCATATTGTCGTAACTTTGACACAAATCATCGTGACTTTATCTCCTGATTAAGTTACCGTAGTAAGAAGTGTGAGAGTTTGGGCAGCTGTGCCGGCTAAACAGTAGCCCTGGTTGTGTGCTGTGTATTGGTGAAGTAGCTGGCCGATTAAGAAACGCAAACACATGCAAAGATAACTGTCACATATTAACAGTTCATCAATTCAAACCAGAGGGTGATATAAAGACAGGAGCAGAGAGTTAGTGCAGCCTACACTGTCACACTGGGTGATAGTAAAGGTTTGATGAGCAGGAGCTCAGCATCACTCCTCAGTTCAATTAACTACACTGACTGAAAATGGAGCCAGATCCCTGGTGATGAATAAAAACTCATTTTAAAGTCATACAAAATGAATTTGTTAGTGAAAGTCTATTTCAGATTTTTAGGCATTTAAAGAATAAAAGAAATGTGTGCTACTAACTTTTTACGACGGCTTATTTATGTTCGTGTAACAGAGCTCATGTCGGACGTATGCTTATCTTCTCGCCTGGCTTTGCTGTGACGACGATGGCGACATGGCCGAAAATTAACGATGGTGTTTCAGTGAATACACTCGACCCACCTGTGATTAAAGCCACCCACCGGGACCAGACAGCACTAATAAAGTACTATTGGCAGAAAGCGTTTGCATGGATAACTAATTTTATGAACTAGCACGGCAATTGCGTCTATTGTAGAATAGTGGGTCACGTGACCTCGCATCCATTTAGGCCTCCTAGTGTCAAGTTAGGGGATAATAACCTCAACTTCCGGTGTGTTACAGTAAACTCATTTAAGCGAAATAACATTTAAAGTTGATATTTTTTATTTCTAGACGGCCACCTTGAAAATAAATAATAAATATTACGGTTTAAACGTTTATATTGCGCCCCGTACACCACAGTATTTGATAACTGTTTGTATTTTTTAAATTTTCGCTTTGATTTTACTTTGAAGGTGTGGACGCCTTACTTCCGGTACAACTACTGGTATCCGTGGTTAGCTTGACGCAGGTTTGGGGCCTGCTGTGTTTTCAACGGAGGGAGAGCTGTGAAGAAAAATGGCGTCTGCAGGCGACCCAGAGCGGGACACCGGCCATTCAGTTTGAGCTTTCCGCCCTGAAATTGAGACCGGGGCTTGGTGGAGACTTATCGGGAAGCGTCACTGGACCTGTTAGTTTCCTTCTTCCCCGCTTTTCTCCGGTGTGTGTGGCTTTTTCAGGCACCGAGATTGAAGCGGAACAGAAGAGACTCTCTCCCACAATGAGGGGGAGAAGAGGAAGGCCGCCCAAACAAGCAGCTGTGATGCGGGAAGGTTCACCCGGGCCAGTCCGCGGCTCTCGGGGCAGCAGGAGTAGAGGGATGCGTGGACGGGGAAGGGGCAGAGGACGCGGCCGGGGACGGGGAGGAAGTGGCGGTGTTTGCGGCACTGGTTCTGCGGAGGTGGATACAGAAATCTCCGGCCGAGAGAACTTTCATTCGTCCCGGGGCCGCAGGAAAGTTGGAGCCTCCACCACGGCGGCGGCCGCGGCATCGCGGGGCAGAGGAGGGAGAGGGAGAGGCAGGGGGTCGAGAGGCAGCCGCGGCGGTAGAGGCGGAGTGAGGCGGCGGCCTCAAACCAAGGTGGTCTACGACGACAACAGCGACGAGGAGGATGATAATTTAAGCTACAGGTCAGACGAAGATGAACTCCTGAACGACAACCCTTCGTCGGATCTTGAAGAAGAGGAGGCCTTGGGAAACGACTCTGACTATCTGGAGGAACTACCAGATGATGATGATGCCAGCTACTGTACCGAGAGTAGTTTTAGGAGCCACAGCACGCTCGGTAGCACCCCAGGTACGTTGGTTTGCAAGTGCACGCACTTTTGCACCGCAGGTTTGCATAACTTAAAGTGTGTGTTTTATTTTTTAGCTCAGTACAGAAACCAAGCCGCATTGTTCAAAATGGAGCTTGCACTCAGAAACAGGCCTTTGTTTACCGTGTGCTCTGCTTGCCACTGGTTTGCAGGTCTGCCCCACGCTTCACCCGGCTCCCGTGTTTCGGACTTTTTGTCTCATCAGCACATTTTTGTTGTCATTTTATAATGAATAATTTATTCGTGCTTCCCCCCCCCCCGTGCGCGCCATATTTAACGTGTCTACATACACACGTAGAAACAGGATATATGAACTGTATTTGTCACTTTCCATTCATTCCATTCATTCAACATCTCTACTTGTGAAAGTACAGTATAGTACGTGCAGTTTGTACTATGTAGACTACGCGCCATCAAAACACGCAGTTTGTAAACACAGTTTCACACTGCCATCGGATTAATAGTGCATAGGTCTACTTTTTTTAAGGCTGTAGTACTGTCAGATATATAATCTTATTTTGTCACACAGTCATTTAGATCATTTAGACCTTTGCACCTTGTTCATCTGTTTCTGAAGACACATTTTTGTTGCATACTGCCACTACATGAGTTTGACAGGCCTTTGTTTTGAGGAGAGGCGCTCTTTTTTTGCACTTGTTGCAAACATCAACTCGTTACAATATTGCGTGGTGCACCGTTACCATAGTAACCGCTGTGTTTACCAGGTGAGCAAATTAGAGCCATCACGGCCCCACTCATGGACAGTCATGTTTATAAAGTGGTGTCTGCAAAAATCTATTGACATCACACCTGCTATGTAAAGCAATGCACTGGAAGCAGTGTGCCAGCTACTGGAGGTAATTCTACATAGGATTAGAAAAATTTTGAAAGGGTGATCCAGCATTTCAGTATCTGTTCAGCAGAAAAGGTCAACCCTTTTTGATATCTCTGTTGTATCAGACTTGCCCTTTCTTGTTGGGATGCAATTTCCTTTGAAACAAAAATGTTCTTTGGAAAGAAACATTAAAGTGTGGGTTGTATTTCCTGATTTATTCACTCTTTAACACCTTGCTACATTCTGATCAGGCTTAGATGCCATTTAAGTGGTCCAGGGATTACTCACATACCTGTCAACTTCCAATGGCCACTCCGGCTGCTGTTTATAAAGACGTGAACATGGCAGCATTGTGCAGCCAAGTGTGAGGGGTCTTTCGTAAGACCAGTGGGCTAGACATTGCTGTGCTTTCACTGCCATTGACATGCATACACACATATACATGTTGTTTTCAAACACATTGCACACCCACACACATGCCACTTTTACACATTATCCCTGTGTTTGATGCAGAATAATGCACCAGTGATGGTCAGCCCCTGTTTGACCCATTCACACAAGACTGCTGTCACAGGTTAATCCCTGGATGTCACCATTTGTAAGGCAGCCAGTTCTGCCACTTCAGTCCCATCACTGTCTCAGTTTACACATCAATGCTAAACCACAGAATCATACTAGAGCTAATACAAATATATTTGCAAAGCAGTTATCGACATCCAGTTCATCAGTGGTCGCTGCAGTGTTTGCATGGAACATACAGCATGGCAGACAGTGTGGATAAGGTGGTGTAAATTTATAGGATTTGTTGATTTGGTCTCCTTGTGAAAAGTTTGTGCAGCACTGTATAATAATGCCACAGTATCTTTGAGACTGAGAGGAGCACATGAGGAGGCTAGAGGAGCACACCAATCTACTATAAGTGGGTATGATTAGTGAATAGTATTAGTATACTTATCCTACAATGATTAAAGAAATGCTTCTTCACCCTGTTATAACAACACCGAGCAGTGTCAGGAGAGCATTCAGCACTGGTAAGGAGCAGGGTCACGGGGCCAGGTTGAGTGACCTGCACTGACCCATTCACATAAAAATACAAATGCAGGCTTATTTCAGGTAACTGTGTTCAGAAATGGTTAATATACACAGACATCAGAGGTAATATGCAGGTACAGTGCATAAGCTGCACCATCTGCATTAATTACACAGTTGACAAAAGGCAGGCTTACAAATCCAGTGGGAGCATTTAGCTTATTGTCTTGGGACAAGTATGTGCATGTCTGCCTTTTATACTGTGACTTCTCCTGTGTCACGCTGTAATAGAAATAACGTCATTCACATTAAGACGAGCTTGTGATTCCCGTCAGTATTGGGCAATTTATGTGTCACATATATTTGAAATCGATTGGGTGTTGGCATCCAAATTCTATTGGTACACTGTTATTGTGTACATTTTATTAGAACCAAATTTGGATTATTGGTGGCACTTTGAGATTCCTCTTGGGGATCCCCATGTGACACCAGGCAAAGTGAAGCAAGGAATCTAGTCGTATTGCCGATCTGCCCAGGTGTATCCTCCTTTACAAGTGCAAAATCAGAGAGTGCGAGTCAAGGGGGTATCAAGGATGCTAAAAAGTCTAGACTTTAGGTTGCATTGAATAATGGAAAAGGTTTATACAGTAGCTCAGTCCTTTGTGGTACACAGTGCACCTGATGAAAATGCCCACAGCTGCCATGTTTAAACATGTTGTGTTCAATGGTCCTTTTATTAATATGCCACCCTTTTCTCACTCCTGGCTCTTTTCCTCTCACTTCTTGCAGGCCGGAGAAAGAATCGGGCATTGCGACCGCAGTCTCCCATTCTTGAGGCAAAGGACATTCCTCCCCTGGAGCTTCCCAAGTCCTCTGAGGACCTCCAGATTCCTACCTCACAGCTCCTCAATGTATCTGCCATCTACGAAGTCCTCCGCAACTTTGGCTCGGTGCTGCGGCTCTCCCCGTTTCGCTTTGAGGATTTCTGTGCCGCGGTGGCCAGCCAGGAGCAGTGCACACTGCTGGCAGAGACCCACATCTCCCTGCTCAAAGCTATTCTCAGAGAGGAGGACACTTCCAACACCACATTTGGTCCCACTGACGTGAAGGATTCTGTCAACTCAACTCTGTATTTTGTGGATGGTATGACCTGGCCGGAGGTGGTGCGGGCATACTGTGAGAGCGACCCGGAGTACAGGCACATTCTGCCTTTCCAGGAGAACGAGGATTATCCGTATGAACCGTTGGAGAGCAAAATCAAAGTTCTCCAGTTTTTGGTGGACCAGTTCCTGGCGACCAACATTGCCCGGGAGGAGCTAATGTCGGAAGGTGTGGTTGCCTACGACGACCACTGCAGAGTGTGCCATCGCCTTGGTGACCTGCTGTGTTGTGAGACATGTTCAGCCGTTTACCATCTGGAGTGTGTGAAGCCGCCTTTGCAGGAAGTGCCGGAAGACGAGTGGCAGTGTGAGGTGTGTGTGGCACACAAGGTACCTGGCGTGGCGGACTGCATCCCAGAAGTGCAGAAGAGCAAACCATTTATTCGACAACTGCCAGTCGGTTATGACCGACATCACCGAAAATACTGGTTCCTTAACCGCCGCGTTGTTGTGTAAGTTCATCATGTTTCATTTATGTACCAAAGTTATTGCAAACGATTCGACCTTAGAGGAGTCAGTGTGAGTGACTTATTGTTGATACAGTTTTGAACACTGATAACATGCCATTTTGTATTTAAAACAATTATTAGTCTAAGTTCCTGAAATATTCAAAAAATCCTGAAACAATTGGTGAGGACTGAGTGTGTACAACATGTTTATTTGATATTTATTCAACCATCTTGGTCTCTCAGATTGTTTTTCCCTCAAGAGTCCTCGCTCAAGTAGCTGCGTATTACAGTACACAACCAATTCACACCTTTGCCCAAATTGCCATGATTTCATATTGTCAGAGTATTTGGCTGCAGGAGTAATTAATAGAAAAGTGTCCTTTAAAGCAGTTTAATTAGCTCTAAGGCAGTGAGTGTCCACAGTTGTCACATAATTCTGCATCATAGAAAGTGTTTGTGAATGTCACAATCCATCTGCATGTACAGTTAAAAACAACACCATGAAGAACAGAGTTATTGGCCAGTAATTCTGTAATTACGTTTCTGCACACTTATGTACTGTAATTTATGATACAGTATATACTGTAGCTGCTGTCTATGCAGCTGATGTACCACAGTATTTGTGGGTCAGTTTACTTTGTCCCAGCCACTAATGAGCACGTGTTCAACCTGCATCCAAACCCTGCGCCATTCCTGAGAGAATTAGAGCCAAGATGAAATGAAAATGCCCTTTAACCCTTGGAGATCACATTCCCCGATCATATTAACAGTATATCCTTAAATCATGTCTCCTCTTGTAAAACAAAACATGACTTGTGTTTATGTAAGCCAGTGCCAACCAATATCAACCCATACCATCAATCAATTTTCAACTGTTAGAGGAACAGAGCCATTCATTAGTTAGCTTGCTAGCAACAGCATGGCATGTCACTGTGTCTTCATGGTTATGGGCCTGCTGGCTGGAATTTATTCACTTTAAGGAAAGTGGCATCAGTTGAAGCTCCAGATTATTATACGGAAGACATTTTACAGTGTACTGCATTAGCAACTAGTGTTACATGGAGCTCACAATGGACTGCATCTTTCTCTTTCCCTGACTGATACTACTATACTGTCCCTTAACACCACTGGGGCCTCTCTATTAGGACAAGACCACTTTTCAACAATCAGATCATATCCTCCTAACGTTATACCCCGCCTGCCTATCCCGTGTCACTCGGATACAAGTCACGATACTGAAGCTAGATACTCTTGAACTGCCATTTCATCCAGACTTTACATTACATTTCTAATCCCAAATAGTTGTCTGGTGTTCAAAGCGAGGCACGTTCAACCTGAGTTAAACCCAGGTCAGCAGAGGGGTCATGAGTGACCTGCATTGACACATTAGAATTGACTGTTTGCATTTGAAAAGCCAGTAGTTTTTTGCAAACGTGCATACCTAAGATTTGTTTAATGAGAATATTGTTGCAGAACACTACAGGTCTAAAGCCTGGGAAGTCTCCCAGTGAACAACCTCCATATGCCATGTGTTAAACCACGATGTAGCTGCAGGAATGTGCAAAGAACACCACATTGTAGCACTGCTGTACTTTTATTCCCAGAGGAAAAAAAACATTGAGTGCTGCTTAGGTGCAAAGTAAAAGATGCCACAAACTTAGGGCCTCACATATGAGTACAGATCTGCATGGCTGTTAGACATACTGTTTAATAAAGCAAAATAATTGCACCCATCCATAGGATTTAACATAACTTGACCATCAGCAGTATTGGGCCCATACGTTAGCAAATTATCTTGGTATTGAGCAGTCACAGATGGTGTGTGTGTGCTGGGTCAGCAGCAGCAGAAGGCCTGCTACATAAACCATAAAAGAGCATGGATCACCTAAACAATAAGATTTAAAAGGATAGGTGGCCCGAGGTTTGTCGCTGCTGCATTTCAGCCCCTATCTTTTTTTTCTGCTTCATCCTGCTCTCCAAATTGGTCCCCAGCAGGTGCTGCGTTACCGATCTTCACAGAGGCTGTATGTGTTTGTATACAAGTAGTGTGCACAGAGGAAAGTTTGTGTGACTGGATGTACGTGCAATGAATGATGTGCACAGAAGTAAAGTGTATGTGTGTGCACGTGCCTCCAGTGAGGTCCTGGAAGGATGCTGAATAGACACTGCTGATACACAGCCTCAGTGTGCAGTGCCTCGGCATGGACCATGCTGAGCAAAAAGCTGTCAGATATTCCTCTCTGTTGCTGCTGATACACAAACTCTAAGTCTAAAATGCGAAAAATGTCCTTTTCAATATTTCTTGTTGTGGTGGGCTTTGCAGAAGATTAGGCTTCCTGCTAATCAGTACAGTTCACCCTCAGTATCCCACAGGTACGCACATTTTCATTGGAAACTCAGGGAGAGCGGATTATTTCACAGACTATTGGAAATTCTCAGTTTTTTAATAATTTAGATTAATATTAAATTCATTTACATAGATGAGTAGGGCCAGGCAACCATTTAGTAGAAAGCAGACCACACTGTACTCTAGTATTTAGTTTTAGAAAGCTCAGTCTAAATGTGGGTTGTCAAACGATTCATTTTTTTAAATCACTGAATTTCAACAGATAATCGTAATTAACCACATGTTTAAAATTGCATTATTTTGCATTTCAAAACAGTTTTGAAGTTCATATCAACAAGGTAAAGCGATTCCTACCAGAGTGTCTTGATTTGGAATTAACTGAATGCAAAGAAATTTACTTTCGGTTTCAGTTTAGTTGCATGCTGTGATTCATATAAGTCCTGTATACATGAAACTATTGTTCCCCCCGACTGTGAGGCATATGACTGGTCACAGTATGCCAACCTGAGGATGTCCCTGAATCTTCCATGATGTTGGCTGGTCTGCAGTCAGTTGCCACCCATTTAGCAAGCTCTGTAGTTATGTTCTTTAATGTAGTTTCATTCACAGGTCTGTGGCAATTTGCACACTCCAAAATAGTGCTTTGCCAGCTTTGGCAATACGGTTGCCTGCTGATGTCAGTCTGATTAGCTGCACCTCGAAAGTATTTCGGTGATGTTTTAATTTTGTTTTACATAAGATGCATATTACCTTTTGACTTGTCAACAGAACCTACTAGGAGTTTTTTAAAGTATAGTGAGCCATTCAAAAGTGCAAAGGTGTCGATATTTTCCATCACTGTGGCAGCTTGACTACAAGTAAGAGTGTGTTGAAGGGACAAAATAGCAGCACACGTTTAACATGATTAAAAATTAAAATTATGCAGTATGTTTAGTATGTTAATCGCAACATGATTAAAGTGTTAACACTCCCCCATTCCATTACATAAAATACGCCTCCCTGTCATTTTTCATACTGACGAGTGAGTTTAGTGAAGTCAAATGTCACAGTTGGTAGACCGTTTTGATGCGTGCAAGTTCTTTAATGGACTTATTGTTCTGCATTTTCCAACGACACCTTGCATGTTTTGCTCAGCTGTTCACACCTGCTCATATTATTTTGGTTGTATAATGGGTGTGTTGTTCCTCGTCTATGACATGAATATGACAGCATTGTATCACCAAAAAAAGATGGGAATAGGTATCAGCATTTTTTGTGAGGTCCACTGTTTTGATTTGCGACAGGGTGGTGCAATGGTTAGCATTGTCGCCTTAAGGCAAGAGGGTTCTGGATTTTGTTCTGTGTTGGGTTTTATTGTTCTCCCTGTGTCAGGGTTTTCTCCCAGTTCTCTGGCTTCCTCTCATGATCCAGTGATAAGAATTATGGGTTGTTTGGTGACTTTAAATTGCCTATAGGTATGAATGTGAGTGTGAAGGGTTGTTTGTCTGTATGCCTCAGACCTGTGATAGTCTGGCGACCTGTTCAGGGTGTTCCCGCCCCTCGCCCAGTGTCAGCTGGGATAAGCTCCAGCCCCGCTGCGACCCTGAATAGGATAAGCGGTTATGGATAATGAATGACTATGTTGATGATAATCAATCAAGCAGGCTACCCATAAAAATTAACATTTACAGGGGATGGATCTGCCAGACTAAATGACAGCCTAGTACCTGGTACACTTCAAAAAGTAATTGCCGCCATGACAAATGTCACGTTGCCTCTAATTAACGTATAGCTCATTTATATTCACAAGTTTATGTGTCAAAGACAATACACTTGAATTGAAATCAATGTGATGTAAACATTTAGATTTAGACAATTGGATATTCTGCAGTTCAGTTTGAAAAGTCAAACAAATGTATGACATGATAAAAGACAAACAAATGGCATTAAACACATGAAGCCACATAACAGCATATGTTTTACAGTTTTGTCACTGTTGAGTCTCCTAATTTTTTCCCCTCCCGTCTCCCCTCTCATGTCTCCCCTACAGTGAGGAGGATGGTGAGCAGGAGGACAAAGCCATCTGGTACTACAGCACCAAGGTAAATGCAGCTCATCATTTTCTCTTACTGGGGCTGTATCCTCCTCACACAATAAAACTGAATTATTTAGTTTCAAAGGACTCTTGTTACTCTTCTTAATTTCTTACATGCTGTGGTTACAATCCTGCTTTTTCTTTAATGAGCAAAATACATCCAAACATTCCCTGTTTTTTGGCAGTGTGGCTGTCACATCTTGTGCTGCACTTGCTGAGCTCTCCCTTACCTCTGCTCATCCCAGGTCCAGCTAGCTGAGCTCATAGATGGTTTGGATAAGGAATACTGGGAGGCCGACCTGTATGCAGCGCTCGAGGAGATCAGGGACGAGGTGCACGCCCATATGGACATCACTGAGGACCTAACCAACAAGGCCCGTGGCAGCAACAAGTGTTTCCTCACTGCTGCAAATGGTAAAGAGTTCTTCATTCTTACTCCATTAGAATTTCCAGAGAAGCTGAAATGCTTTTTGCCACTGAGTTTAATCATCAAATCAGCGGAAGGAGGATTTTTTCCCCCCTTTCTCTGTCTTCCCACTCCTCTGCCTACTTCCCCCCCAATACTCATGAATGCCACCCAGTCATAGATGGCTGGGCCATAGGAATCAACCCAGCTATTATGTAACCTTACTCTGATCCCAATTTGGCCAGAATCCAGCACTTGAGCTTCCTTTCAGTCCCTCGTCCATTCCTCTGTGTCTGTGGGGTGTCCACATGATCCATGTGTGTGTTTTTTGCTACTGTCTCGGTGCAAATGATGCACTTGTAAGCAAATCATGTGTGGGTGGAAACTAGTGCTTCTATCAAGCGTCTGCTATGCACAGATAAGTTAAAGGTTCTCACTCACAGCTGAATTTAAGCCTTTTACCTTCAGGAAGTATATAATCCAGGAAAATAAAAATTGTATGCTACTTGAAGGAATGAATACAGCTTTTGTCAAACTTTTCCAAACTGGCAGCAGCTTCATCATCCCTCATTTTTTTATTTTGCTCATGCACAGTACCAGCTAGCTCAGCAACATCTCAAAAATGTAACTGTGAACTTAACACACTAAATACTTAAGATACACAAGTTAATAATTGGTCAGGAGTCAGCCCCTCATTAATTTGGGCCTGCTCTTGTTAAGACCACCAAGGAGGTTATGTTTTTGCCAGCGTTGGTCTGTTTGTTTGTCTGCAAAATAACTCAAAAAGTTATGAACGGATTTTGATGAAAGGTGGATAATGGGACAAGGAACAGATGATAAAAATTTTGGTGGTGATCGGTTGAAGCAAAGTGGATAAAATAATAAATTACAGCCTCAGCAGCAATTCCAATTTCTAAAGACGGTGAACATAGCTCCATCTGGTGGCTGGAAAGCACGTCTTGTTCTGCTTGCTAAATATTGTAATTCTAAAGTTGAAATTAATGTTCTGTGTTGGAAAAAAGAAAGTGAAAAATACAAAAAACATTATATTCTGTGTTGGTACAAAATAAAAACGAAATAAATACACCACAGTGTCTCCATGGTGAAGGCATATGTAACCTAATAATGATAGTGATGCAAATAACCTAATTGTGATGCAGGCTACAAAATCTGATGCGGAGGGGGAGGGAATATCACCTACTTGCCCGAGGTCTGCACTCTCTGAGTGCTTTTCTAGTTAGAATATTTTGCAACTGTTTCCCCAATTAAACCATAAGATTGCTTTAAAATTGATAATATGTTAAATAATATGTTCTATAATGTGGAAAGCAGATATAGACTTCTAAATTCTATTTCTGCTGTTTATAAGCTCAGTTTTTATATAGAGTTTCCGTATGAGTGTCACATTTAAATGTGAGATATTTCGTCCAGCTTGGTGACAAGTGTGACGCTGAAGATATATTCTGCCATCCAGTGTTATTATATTTCTGTATATGCGGTTAGGGGAACTGTAGGTTTCAGTCCTGCCCCTGCATTTGTAAGCCAGCAGTGATGAAGCAAAAGGAAACGGTAAACATACAAGCCGGTGTTTCCTGTTTTGTGTATCACTAAAAGACAACCCTCAACATTTGCATACAGTAATATTTGATCTGATTGATGCCCGATTTCCTTTTTGGACGAGGCAGACTGAATACTGGCAGATAATGATGTCCAGCATATTAAACATACACAAATCAACCACAGAATGTCTCGTCAATGCTGTTGTGCCACACAGACACACACAGTGTTGTCTGCGTAAGTTATAAAGTACAGATCAGAGTCAACTGGGATTTTTTTGGTGTTTCCTTGTTTCCTGAGAATTTCAATTTCAGGATTGGAAGTTTTTCTGTTTCCTTTGTGCTGTCCTGCTCGCATTGTTCTTGATGATTTAATGTAGGCTATAACAGGATAATGAACTTAATGTCTGTAACTTTAACATGCTTCCCTCCATCCCTGCTATGTTCATTTTTTGTTCAAGTTTCCCATGAGTGCAGATGGCGGTTGTGGTGTAGTGGTGCTACCAACGAGTCATACTCAACTGTATCAATGACCTAACGTGCTGCTTATCTCTCAATATGTGACTATCATGCTGCTACACATATTAACGCTGTAATGATCAGTCTAAAACAAAGCAGGATGCCATTGTGATTAAGCCCTTATTAGAATCCTGTAAACAGTTTGCTGCTTCTGCCATTTGTGAAGTCTAACCAAGGAAGTCTGTGGGAAAGTAATTCCGTGTCTTGTCCTAGTTTTGGGGTTGAAGTATAAAGTTCAAGCACATCATAATGTGGCTTCCAAAACACTTACTCTTTGTCTGTTAGATTTCATGTTGGTTAAGTTCCAATTCCTGATATCCTGCACTGAATTTTAGTCTGAGGTTGTTGTTCTACTTTCCCTCCACAACTTGAATCTGCTTAATTCACACCTTTCTGGCTTCTTATGTGTACTTTGTGATTTATTCATCATTATACCTGTTTCTTTGAGTGTATTATTATGGGCATTTTGACACATTTCATTAGAAAAGCTGTATGGAAAGGGCAACTTTTGATATAACTTCCTCAGCTGCGCAAAAAAAGATTTTATGGTGGTAGCCTTTGTTGAATAAAAGTTGATAAATGGGATATGGAAACACCTTTGCCGAATTAGTTCTGATGTAGCAAACATTAAACACACCCAACTGATCAACTGTTTCCACTATCTTCCCTAACATTCCCATAAAATCATAATTTGTCTTTATTTCCAAACGTGGCCAATACTAGCTGACATGAAAGAACAGTTAAAACTTGCCCAGTTGAAACAAAGTCCTAATGACTTCTTCCTTTTTTTCTTGCTTCAAGGCGACTTGTTTTGTGTCTGGCTCGCGACCCTTTCCCCCTTTTCTCTGTTTCCTGTTTGGTTACTGCTGTATGTACAATGTAGCCTATACCTTTAACTTCTGACAGAACCACGCTTTGTGCAGCCGAATTTATTCACTCCAAACCAGTTGATGGAAACGTGCCTAATGAGCATTTATTTTTACCAACATTTGAAGTTGGTTTGACAATAGAAACGAAATACGTCTACTGTTGAATAACATTTTAAACTGATTTAATTTCCTCTACGTTTTGCGTACTAAGTCTTGTAAAGGGTGTTCTCAGTATGTTCTGTATCATTTTGATGGATTACTTTGTTTGCTTTGTTGTTGAGTTGAGTGTGATTTCATGATAATCACACACTATATTTATTGCCTCAGCCTTTAATTTCTTTTGTCTCAAAACTATTGTCTTCTGTTTACTCCATCTTCTTTCTTTCAGAGGAAATCCTGGAGCGGTTGCGGGCTAAGAAGGAGGAGGAGCTGGAGGAGGTGAAGAGACGGGCAGCTGAGGAGGCCCAGAAAGCACGGCTGGAGAGGGAGAAGAAGGAAGTGGACGTGGAGAAGGAAGATGAAGAGGCTAAATTGAGGGACGAGGGTCAACAGGAGAACAAGGTCAAAGATCTGACAGAGGAGGAGGAGACAAAAGAAGAGGCCACGGAAGAGAAGAAGGATGGTGGAGGTATTTCTGATGTTTATATTTCACAAACTAACGAACACAATGAAATTTGTAGCCCACAGTAATGATAATAGCTACATAACGTTGTTAAGTGTGACCGAAAAGTGCACATTTTAATTTATATCTGTGTCCTGCTGGATTTGTATTATCCAGTGCAATAAAGAGGCCCTATACAGAATAAGACGTTTATTGCATGGGCAGCAGAGCAGAAAGCTGACATCTCTGGTAAGTTTTGGTAGGTTGATTGGCCTTGAGAGACTAGTGAATATAAATGTCTATATGAATTTCCAAAAGCACATGATTGCATTCTTCTAATAGCTAATGTAAGTTTAGATAAATGTTTACCCAACTGATGATGAATGATGTGATGATTTGATCACATTTGTCAGCCCCAACCATCACTGCTTCTCTCCATTGTCTCCAAGTTATGTATGCATTATAAAATCCACAATACTTACAACATTGCTGCTGTTCATCTGTAGTTGTTGAAGCTCCACCCACTGGCCAAGAAGGCAGTAGTGACAGTAGCATCTCAGACGGACCTATACCTCCAGCAACCTCTGCCCCGACACAAAGCATCCCCACCGCCACGAGCTATAGCCTGGCCTCTGAGGCTCCAAAGCCCCTGGCCTCCACCGTAGAGCCTCTGATACAGGGATGTTCCCATATGGAGGTCTCTAGCAACAAAGAAGGTATACAAGGACGTCTCAGGGTGAAGTTGACCTCATTAAGATCTTTCTGGCGATCTGCTTTTCTGCCACAGTCTGCAGCTTCACAGAATTGTGTGGTGAATCTCGTATCAGTGACTTGTTTGTTCAGCCTTATACCCCCAGTGCTTTGGCGTTCCTCCTGACCATTTCTCAGCCTGCCTCTTTGCATGTGGCTCTCATTCCATCTGCTGGCTTTTGTGTTCAGTTGTCCAATTTTTTATTTCTTGAAACCCAGGTTCAGCCTTGGAACACTTTCAGCCTTTTGCGCTTGAACTTCCTCATGCTCTCTTTTTCTCTAAAGAGCTGAGAAGCTGATTGCATCAATTGATTTTCAATCAGGCGGCATTGTCAGCACACTCGGCATGACTAGAACCGAGCCTCAGTCAACTGGGGACAACATTTACGTTGCCTGGTGTAGTAATTCTTATAAAAAGCTTTTCTTCTGCTGCTTGCTTGAAATCTGAACCTCTGATTCTGATTAGATAGCTGTCTGTTTTAGGGGTGGGAAACATATTGATACAGGAATATATCATGTTACTTCCTCTTGCGATATGTTATCGATACGGAGCCAAATATTGATCTTTATTATTAAATCCTGCAGACACTCTAAAGGGATTCCCCAGCCAATTCGACTTACTAGAGTCACTACTTTGTGATTCCTTGTGGTGGCGCTTATCACATGAAGCTGGTAAAGTGAACGGAGGTTAACTAACTTGTGGTAAAGAAGAAGAAAGTGACGGGGGGGGAAATGGCGTAAAGTGGGTTAAAACAAAACAGAAAGGCTCTGTCATCTTTCAAGTCCAAAGTCTGGGCTCACTTTGATTTTTACAACACAGCTGAGACAAACAATCGATAAAGACGCTGCAATATGCAATAACTGTCTGGGGAAAGTAAAGTACACAGGCAACACGACAAACATGCTTCGCCACCAGAGCTGTCATCCTGATCTTGTCATGGAGAAAATGGCTAATGGGACCACAACTGTATGTCAGCCCAAGATGAAGAGGCACTAAGGCGAGAGTCTATGCAGTTTCTTGTACATTGTGTCATTTCAGTTTTTAAATGCAGTTAACAAAAAGATAATGCTTCAGTTTGACCTTTTTAGGGCTATTCTTTCGTCTTCAATTGCACAGACATTGTGATGTATCACAGATAATTGTGTTGCAATGTATCAAGTATCGCAGAATGTCTGCATCATGATACCATCATTAATGGGGACAACGTATTTGACAGTATCGTGAATCACTCTGTGATTACTCTGTGGCATGTCATCACAAATATTTGACTATTTGTTCTTTTTTCTCCATATAGAGTTTGAACAGATGTTTATGGTGGCAGTGACCTTCTCGTAATATAGTAAACAAGCCAAGTTAGCCCTCTGAGCTAATGCATGCTAACTATGCTAACGATGAATTGATCACAAATGTGCAACAACACTTTTTTGCCAACAAAAAGTATATATGAAATAAAAGCCAGAGACTGTACTGTATTAGGTTTCTGTGAGCTGTAAATTCACTACTTTTAAGCAGAGGGCAGAAGATAACGTTATCTCGCAGCATCTCACTCAGACCCACCCTGTGTCTGCGTCCGCAATGGCTTGTACTGGAGAGGGTCGTGAAAATGAGGAGCACTCACCCTGCAGCCTGGGGAATCTGGGGGCCGATTAGTTCCCGGAAGTACACTGACAGGTTTTTTTTTTTTTTAAAAATGACCGCTGCTTCGACTGATGGTTGAAATCTTTGACTTCCAGGGGGCAGCCCTAATGATTCCCACCCCTATTCTGTTTAGATAGTGCCGTTGTTGAAAAAGTGATGATCTGCACACATTCATCGTTAATAGTTACAAAGCATGATCATCATTGTTGTGGTCAGTGTACTTATGTATGCACAAGCCTTGATGGAGCCTTGCCTAGTCACACTTTGCTTTCAAGTGACCCATCCCTCCATGTGCACTGGTTTTGTGATGCATGCATTACGCATGACTTCTCAGTAGAGGGAGCCACAGCCTTGACTATTTATGAACTGTCTCGTGAAAGTTTCTGTCTTCATCAAGACTGAGTTTGCACATTTACAGAATCTCCTCTTTATTTGTCATGGTTAACAGCTTTGATGCAACAATGTCTCTTGTTTTTTTCTACTTGAATCATTTCAGCCCAAGCTAACACCTCTAGCTTGCTGCAACACCTAAATGCACTTTAAAAGATGTCTCAGATGATGACTGATGACAGCAAGAACATCACAGTCCAGATGAAGCTAGTCTTGTAACAGTCAGTCTTCTTTTTGATTTTCTGTCTGTGTAGCAGAAAATGCATCATCAGATTCTGTCCCTGTCAGTGGAGATGGCGTCCCCAGCCTGAGCCAGCCCTCCCAGGCCAGCGAGGAGAACAGTAACAGCAGCATGGGAGCTGCGGTCCCTCCTAGAGGTCCTGAACCTCCAGACCTGGCTGACAAGTCCTCGCAGTCATCCCTGGCCAGTCTTGATGACACAGGTCTGACAAACAATAACACATAATTGCATCTTGTTTTGCTATAATATCATGAATATCTTCTACAGCGATGTATATTACACTGTTGAAAACTTAACTCAGCTGTACTCAGGTCTCTCCAGTAAAGGGGATAATTCGTTTTCCAAACTTCCTGATTAAATAAAGGTTATAAAATCAACCATGCAAGCTAAAAATGATCTCAGGCCTCAAACCAAGGCCTTAAACCAGACAAGCGGCACAATTTACGTGGTACTTTTCTCTGTATGAGAAAACCAGTGGAGGCATATTACAATTATATTAATGTAACCATTGAGATATGGCTTTCAGTGATCATTGCACTCATACAGCTTAGTTCAAATAGAGTTTTCAGCTGTGTAAGACTTGGCTTGTTCTGTCTTTGATTGAATCTGGCTTTGTGATTTCAGGGGACAGTAAAGATGGGGCCAACGGTGAGACCGGTCTCAGCAGTAAGAAGTCCGCAGCCACTCGCATGGTGACCCGGCTAAGGAACCCGGACAGCAAGCTTAGCCAGATGAAGAACCAGCAGGTGGCTGCTGCTGTTCATGAAGCCAACAAGGGCTTCAAAGAGGGAAAAGAGGTGAGAAGAACCATAGATGATGATTATTTTGTACTGTGAAACAATAAAGGAAAAATGCCCGCTTAGTTTCTAACACAGGTGCACAGAGCTGGGAGAATTGGAGATTTACCTGACAATCTTTGGGCTATTTAACATTGTCCCTAACTTACTTGTCACCCAGTAAAACATCTTTTAGTATCAGGACTCTGAAGGTGATAAGCAAGAGTAAGTAATTATTTGATTCAGAGAAGCTGGTTGCATTGAGTTGTACATTGTTTTATGGATGGTAATATGAAGTTTGTTGTGGTGAGTCAGTCACTTAATGACTCATGTTTTTTCCCTACCCCTACAGGTACTTGTTGTTAATGCACAAGGTGACGTCACCCGTGTCAGCACACGTGGCAAGGAGGTCGTGATGAAGGGGACACTCAGCCAGTACTTCAAGCTTGGCCAGGAGGGAAAATACCGCGTCTATCATAACCAGTACAGTTCCAACACTGTGGCCCTCAACAAGCACCAGCACAGAGAGGCAAGTAGCAAGATAAGATGTTGTTTTTGCCATTTGCATTTTCAGAAATACGCTAACATTAAATTAGAGCTGCAGGATGGCTGAGTGGATTATAGTCCCTTCTGGGTTTTAATTTCTCCACATGTTTGCAAGGGTTTCTCCCATTACAGTATTATAAAAACATCCAAGTCACATGGATTGGTGATTATAAATTGTTGAAGAGAATTCTAAACAGATGGGGCACTAACAAAAATGATATGAAGTTGACAATGAAATGTCAGCGGTCTTTCAGATGCTTAAACTTAATCCCTGAGTAAAACTGGCTTTATTTGTCTTTCCATCAGGACCATGACAAGAGGCGACATCTCTCCCACAAGTTCTGCATGACACCAGCAGGAGAGTTTAAGTGGAACGGGTCTATTCATGGCTCTAAGGTTCTGACCATCTCCACACTGAGACTCACCATCATCCAGCTGGAGAACAGTGTTCCAGCACCGTTCATGCACCCTAACTGGGCCTCACACAGGTACGGAGTCCGGCAGCGTGATGAGGACATTATGTATAACAATTCTGATGTTTGTGTCTTATGTGTAAATATGAAAAAAAAAACGCCAGAATTGAGACATTTCTTCCAAAAGTAAGAGCACACCGTGTTTTAGTTTGAAATGCTGAAAGTGTCTTTGCTTGTTTTGCAGGACCAATTGGATCAAAGCAGTTCAGATGTGCAGTAAGGCCAGAGAGTTTGCACTGGCTCTGGCCATCCTAGAGTGTGCCATCAAACCTGTGGCAATGCTGCCTGTCTGGAAGGACTCACTGGGCCATACCAGGTACTCATATAGTCTATATACAATGCCATCCACACATCCAGTTCAAATGCAAGATATTCAAATACTTAGATAAAAACTCAAACAAGCATTCACCATGTACACAGGGAGTGTGTGGTTAGTTCAGCAGGCAGAGGCGATCATAACCAGATCAGATCAAAAGGCCCACCCTCGCTGTGAGGCATAATATTTAGACTGCAAGTCCACTACCAGTGCCACCCACCTCTGCCTCAACTACTGCTTCAACACCACAACGCCCCTTTTAAAGAAGCGATTGTCTAAGATTTCAAAAGCTTAGGATCAGAGTGTGTGTATGTGTGTGTGAGTGAACTGTGAGCAGAGTAAGAGAGGGCTTTTTAGCAACTGGTAGGACAAGTATGTGTGTTTCTTCTCACCTTTCATCAGGGCTTTCAGATGTTTATAAACACTAAATTCTAAGAAAAATAATTATTCACATAAGATATTTTTTCAAATAGCTAAATAGATAGTGACCAGTCACCTAGTACAACGGGTTTTTTTGCAAGCAACAAATTAGAGTGATGTTTGTGTAATTATGCAACTATGAACACAACATTTCAGCCTAAGACTTCACAACAAGGTTATTTTGTTTATAAATACATGTCTTCTTCATGACCAGTCTTCTTAGAAGTCTAATCAGTCAACTAAAAGAAAATGTTTTCAGGTTAAACCGCATGACATCTATGGAGCGTGAGGAGAAGGAGAAAGTGAAGAAGAGGGAGAAGAAGCTGGAGGATGAAGAGACAATGCAACAGGCCACCTGGGTCAAGTACACCTTTCCAATTAAACACCAGGTAGGTCACATACGTTCTCACAAGTTTTGGCTTTTCAATCGCTTATTTGGAACCTGGTACAAGAAGAATTTGTCATTCATGCACACAAAGAGCAGCCTCTTGCAGTCACGTATACATACTAAGCATGTCAGATTGAGACTGGACCACTATCGCTGGCCACAAAGACGTCTGCCCTGCCCTGTCATTTGACTGCATGCTTGACATTTTTTCTTGTCATCACAACCTTGGTTTATGCCCAACATAAAGTAATCCACTCCTCACTTAAATGAGCATTGCACAGCAGATGACTCACAGACGCTGGGATGTCTCATGCACCACACTAGTGATGTCCATGACGAAAGAAGCAAGTAAGTGTGGCTGCCACCTTTTAGATGCACAACTGAATGAGGGGTGATTTGATAAAATACCACTGTTGAGTCTGTTCTAGTGCTGTTGTCTGACCAACACAGCATGAAACTCTACTGACAGTGGGATGATGGTAATGATGTTTCAGTCTAATCAAGACTGAGACTTAACTGCCTGGAAAAGTGAGGCACTGCTGTGGGAAACACTGGTGTGTATGGTTTGCGTATGTGAGTGACCATCAAGGGTTCTTTGAGGCAGCAAGTTGAGCTCTGCTGTGAGTCATTTCCCTCAGCAATTAGTGACCAGTGTATGAATAACCTCTAAACTTTTAATCTTTCTTAATGCCTCCTCTCTCTCCTTTCCCACCCCTTTTTTCTGTCTCCCAATTCACTTTTCTCTGTTTGAACCTTTCATCTCTTTTGTTTCTTTATCCCTCCTTTTCTTCATTGGTCTTCTACTTTCTTGTCTTATTTGAAGGTGTGGAAGCAGAAAGGAGAGGAGTATCGCGTTACGGGCTATGGGGGCTGGAGTTGGATCAGTAAGACTTATGTGCAGCGTTTTGTCCCCAGGCTTCCAGGCAACACCAACGCCAACTACCGCAAAGAACTGGAAGGTCTGGAATGGGAGACTCTGGGGCCTAAAATGTGGTTTTCTCTAATTTAGTCTTTTTGACTCTGAGAGTGAATTAGTCTTTCGTTCAGCAATCTCAACGATGTCACTGTGTGTGTTGGCATCCAGTAAGTTAACCCTCTCTTTTGATGTGTCTGCGGATGTGAAAGGGCCAATCCGAGAACTCAAAAATAGTTCAGATTGTTGTTTATTTATACTGATAGTATAAGTTCTTGTTTATCCTTTTACCTTTAATAGCTACTAATTATTTCAAATCTTCAGCTAAGCTGCAGGTTAAGTGCAGTGTCAAAAACACACCTTTATGTTGTGGAAGCTGGAGATCGCATGATGAGTTGGAAAGTATCGACATTTGGGATATTGTGCATCCCTGTTGTTTATATTTGTAATAATTTATGGGTTGTGTTCCGAAACAGCCTGATTAAAAGCATCTGTCTGTTTTGAAGCACATTAAAAAAACTAAACATTTACTGTCTTTGTGTTTTCCAAAGATGCAAAACTTGGCAAGAAATGTACCCTGTTGGACTTGAGTCGACGTCCCAGCGTAGCTGCACCAGAAGCTCAGGGAGCTGCTGTTTTAAGCAGTGAGGCAAAAGATCAAGAGTCCTCTGGCCTCTCCAAGGCTGCAACAGATCACCCGACGTCTGTTGATGATTTGGAGTCCAATGAGAGGATGGAAGAGGAAAAGAAAGAAGGGGTGGATGAGAAAGAAAAATCTGAGGAACTGTCAGCAGATGAATCGCCTGTGAAGATGGAGGTGGACGTCACAGACTCACAATCAGATGAAGAGCAAAGTATGACAGAGTGCGACTTAGTGTCGAATAGCGTTGTATGCAATTGCATGTGGTGCATGAGTTGTGCTTCATTTTAAACTTGAACATGTTTTATGAATACAAAATTTACTTTGAGCTTTTTTTGACAGATAGTGTGAAGAAGTATCACAGTTTTATATCAGTGTAGATTAAAGTCTGAATTTATTTTCTCTCCAGGGTCCAGTATTCAGGAGGAGAAGGCTTCCATGAAGGAGGAGCCTACAGATGACCCTACACGACCCTTTAACTACGATGTAGTGGATGTTAGCAAGGGTTTCCTCACCCGCATTGCCTACAAGAAGAAAGTCAAGTCCTCCAAGCTGGACAGCCTGCTGGAGCGACGAGTGAAGCAGCACATTATTGAAGAGAGGCAGAGGCAGCAGGTGTCTGCCTCCAACCCTCAGACTCCTACGCCAGTTTCATCCTCTTCACACCCCACTCCAAGCACTCCAGTCCGGCCGCGGTCACCACTCAAGCCCCAGACTTTCTCTCAGAAACAGCTTGCACTTGGTGACGCCGTGAAAGTGGAGGAGAAATCTTCCACAGCACAAACTCCAGGGCCAGGAAAAGTTGGAGGACGAGAGGTCGAAGGGGAGAGTCAGGCTGAACTCTGTAAAACTACAGATGAGACTGTATCTCCTCCTCTTCCTTCTCCTGCTCCAGACTCCACACCCAAAGACAGTTGCAGTACAGGTACAGGTGAAGATTCAGCTTCACCACGAAACCAAACTCCCTCCATGCCACAGGTATTGGAGGCAGACTTAGTGGAAAGGACTACGGGGCCAAAAGAAACTAATACAGACAGTTCGGGCCAAGAGGGCGTTTCACTGTCTGATGTACATGAAACAACAGCAGGGGGGATTCATAGCTCTTTAGAGCGACAAACAACCAGTGTGCTGTCACATGTTGCTAAGGCTGAATATATTCAAAACACAGGGTCTAAGGTACCCAACTTGAAATCGGACTCTCTAAGGACATCTCCAAGTGTTCTTGACCAAATAATCAGTCAAAACACATCTCCTTCTAAATGTATTCAGCAAAACACAGGAACTTTAAGCTCAGCGCGTTCGGGTACAGAGGAAAATGGCACGGGGCCAGAGGAGAACCAAGGAATTATTAAAGGCATTGGACAAAGTAGAACTGAAGACAATAGCACTCCCGAGCCAGTTTCTCCTCTCCCTCAGGTAAATGGTAATGATGGCTCGGGGAGTGAAAGCATGTTGACTAACTCTGTAATGAGCTCAAATAATGGTGTGCTTACCAACAGTCCTCAGCCCAAGGTAAACAGTATTGGTAAAGTTGAAGAACAAGGGCTTGTTGTCTCGTTAAAGGACAGCACGCAGGTAAAGCCTTTAGTGAACGGAGATTTGGCCCCTGTGAATGACTGTACAGAGGTTGGGGGGAAGGAACCAAGCCTAGCTTCTAAGGTAGAGGTAGAACGTAGGACAACAGTATTAGACCAGGACTACACACCTCCGCTGAAGATAACGAGGCTGGAGAACAACATAGACGCACTTGGAGCTAATAATGAGAGCACTCGACAACACAGCAGCACATCACCATTTCAGTCTGAGGAGACTAAACCTAGTCCCGTGATCAAGATCATCAGAATGGCTCCGTCTCCCATACCTTCAGCAGAAGAGTCCAGTCTAAGCGACGACTTCACGGAGGAGAATAGTAACAGTGGGATGACAGAGCCACTCAAGACCATCATCACCCAGGTAACCACAACCTCCACAACCACCACGACAGTAGTTTCCACAGAGATGAGGATAGCCAAAGTGCCCCCGAATGCATCTGGAGCGGTGTCGACAACAGAAAACAGCGCAGTGTCCACCCTCACCACCATGACCAAAACAACTGTGACCAAAATCTGTTCCCCTGGGCACGATGGTCAGTCGGAGGACAGCCAGAGTGAAATAGTGACACAAGAACAGAAGACAACGCACTCAGCCTCTATGAGTAAGTCAGCGACTGACGCCAGAGGTAGAACCTCGGTGTCAACTGTTGCTGTGAGCCTCGTGGACTCATCATCGACAAAGGGCCGTGTCCGCCTCCTCAAGTTCTCCCGCACCAAGAAGACACGCTCAGACACCGCCCTTCCTTCTTACCGCAAGTTTGTCACCAAGAGCAACCGCAAGAGTATTTTTGTACTGCCACACGACGACTTGAAGGTGCTGGCGAGGCGAGGCGGATTCCGTGAGGTGTCCATATTTAACTACAATGCCAAGCCAGCACTGGACATCTGGCCGTATCCTTCACCCAGGCCCACGTTTGGCATCACCTGGAGGTAAACTCACTTATCTTATTTCCCTACATGTATTTTACACTTTATGAACACCAAATTCTAAAAAATTGAATGCAGTCACATGTGTATCTTGGGCCATTACAATGCAGATACCTTAAAATCAGGGAAAACAGATGCATTCCAACTTTAGCGGTGGTTGCTTTGATCATGGAGATGTGAGTGATGGCTGGTTTGAACACACTCTTGGTCAGCTCTGGTGTTTCTCTGGTGGTCCAGAGGCAGCGTCAGATGTCTCTGCATTGCCTGAGCCACCAGGTTGACTGTGTTCCTCTCTCAAAGAACTTAAAGTGTGTCTTCTCACAACATTGTCTCGTGCAACAAAAAGCAAACAACCTTTTTACACAGATCTAACACCACAACTAGACATGATTAATTAAGGGACATTATTTCAACCTTAAATGTAAAGTTTATTTTCTAATACCTGATAGGGTCTGAGTCAGTGTGGGCTTCCCCCTCAATACATTGAATTTTTTCATTGCAAGTTTTCATTCTTTCTTTCTCCTAGGTTTCTCCCCTTGAACTGACTTAACACATAATCATACAGTGTATTCACTGACATAGTTGCTGGTTAAGGAGCATTTTTCCATGGTGAAATTCATCCTTAGCATTTGATCCATCTTTGCTCTTTCAGTGGTCAGTGGGAAACTCAAGTTTTGAGGCTAGCGTGTTGTTCAAGGGCACCTGCTGTGGTTTATCTGATACCTAACACATATGCTACTTTGTGCATGTGGGGGAAAAAAACTACCAGAGGAAACCAATGCAAATAAAGAGCACATGCAATGATGATGGTCCTAACATCAACACTGTGGATTGTGTATACTTAGACACACAAAACTGTACTTCAAATAAAGATGGAAATTCCAACACAGAAAGCCCAAATCTAATTAACATAAGACTAAAGTTTTAGTCAGTCAGATGTGATTTGTAGCCAATGACTCCCCAAAAAATATTCATTAAAAATCATGCAAGGGCAGCACTCCAAATTTACTTTTAATTAAAAGTTATAGCTAGACTAGAATTCAGTTATACACTTAGTTTTGAAGGCCACTTCAGAGTAAAATATTTCACAAACCAACTGAATCAGAGGACACCCCCTGTGTTTTGGGGGAATTAAAAAAAGATTTATAATTTGTAGCGGAGCACACAGCCAGAGAGTGTATCCAGTCTTTAAGAGAATTTTTTTTGCCACATGTTCATCAAGGATTTGTGTGTTCAGTGTCAAAGTACAGTGTGTGTGATGTCTGGATACTGTGAAATGGAAATCAAAACATATGGCTGCTGTGGTTTGTAGTCGTAAGAGCAGGATTATCCACATTTACCGTATGTTTTCATGTTCCGTTCTGCCCGATGCTTATTGATTTCCTGGGTGACATAAAACCTGAGAAGTTGCTTAATTTGAAATGTTTGACAATGTTTTACAACCACAAACACGTCTGTAACAGTTTGTGATGTTTACACAAGACATCAGAGGCGACAAGGCCGACACTATGTCCCTTCAGCATCCACCTTTAAACCCTCTCCTGGTTTTGTGCCATGCCTTGTTGATTTGTTCTCTAAGTCTCTCTTCCTGTCTGCTGTTTGCAGCTTTGGCCCTGAGCGATGTTGTGGCTCTGAGCCTAGTGTCACACGCATTATTTTAACCGGACCTCAGGGTTCCAAAGCCTTCATGAATCATCCGGCGGACAAGTGTCAGGATGTTCACTTTATGCAGTGACCCAGCCCTGCAACCCAGGGATAGTTTCCCGCCTGTGGTTACACATGGGAAAGAGAATATCCACCAAACCCCAATACACACATAGCCTTGTGCTGATGTTTTTCTAGATGTTCAAGATGTTTTAAGATGAGTGCCAAGTTCATTGTCGGAACAGCAGTCATGGTCATAATGATGCACGGAGGGAATATTCCTTCTAAGGGACATTTTTCATTGATGGATGACATCCTGTCATTTTATTATAGTCTCAGAGCAGTCTGTTACACCCAAAATTGTGAATTAAAAAGGACCAAATGAAATATGCACGAGCTCCAACTTTGAACTTTGTGAGTTAAAACTGTTGTTTTATGTGCTTTTGTAGTCCGAGATAAAATCTATCCCTCGACCAAATTAGCCTATGAAGTGATTTATTAACAATGGCAGTCGGTTGTTCTATTTCTTTCATGGAAATGGTCATGAGGGGATAGCAACATCACCCAAACCTCTGCTTCTTCCTGTTCCATGATCGCGTTGCAATGTGTTTTCTGTGACACTGAGCGAGTCACTAGTGGTCAGTTGCCCTGCACTAATAAACTGCATGACACCGGGGCAGTGGGGACCGCCAGTAACCCCTCAGCTCATAGCTGTAGGACAACTATTATTTCTGTCAGACGTTTCCATATCCCCATTTAAATATAACATTTTCAACAGGATGTACACAACAGACATTTTCCAGGAAATTCTTTCTGTCAAGCTTTTTTTCAGGCTATGTTTAGGTGCAAAGTTGTAATTGACACACAATATTTGGACAACATTAAACCGTTTATATACATGACTAATAATTGGGGTTGTGTTGTAGGTATCGCCTGCAGACAGTGAAGTCTTTGGCTGGTGTGAGCCTGATGCTGAGGCTCCTGTGGGCGTCTCTAAGATGGGACGACATGGCTGTCAAACCATCCGCTGCTGTCGGCACCACACGCACAGGTATAACCCCCCCTATTTTCCCAAACCATCTAACCCCCACCCAATAAAAACGTCCTGGGAGGAGAGAACTGCTCAAATGGGAGGGTTTTTTAGGGAATTAAAGGGAAATTTCAGGCTACAGTGTCATCCCTACAGGCAGCTTTGCATCTTAGTTTAGGTAAATCAAAAGTGCTTGCTTTTGCCACTGACAGACTGACAACATTATGTTAAGGACCCTACAGAGAATTGAAATATTTTCCTTACCTTTCCCTGGTTCTTGCAACCAAGGAGAAGTCTTTTTTTGAATTGTCGCGAGAGGTGACTTATCGCAGGAAAACAAGTGTTGAAACATTTATGAGGGTTGGAGAGACGAGCATGTTGTGTTGGAGAACAGATAGTGTAGCTTAGTGTTAACTCACAGTTTTTCAGTGTCATGGCTAAATATTTGGCTCATTTTGACGATGTGGAACAGTCTACAGGATTTCAGAACGAAACTTCCTTCAGCAAGTCTTGGTTATACACACTTATGGACCAGATCAGCAAAAGGTTAAGAACAATGTTTCGTTTCTCTGTAGGATCCTTTCCTCAATGTAGTCAGACACCTATAATAACAATCTGAGCATGTTGGTGGCAAAAAACAAGCACTTTTGATAAGCATAAATTTTCGATGCACAACTTCCTGTAGGATTTACATTGCAGCCTGCTTGACTGACGGGGCTGCAGCAGTTTCTCTCAATACTGAACCACTTTCACAAATGTTTGCTTCTTTTCATCACTTGATAGAAAAACATGGGAAAATAGGGACCAGGTAAAAAAAAGTTTTCCTGTAATTGTGCTCTTTGAAAAAAAGTATATAAGATGTAGAAATTATTATTTTTCCTGTAAGATTTGACTGTCCTCCTTATCCCCATGTTGGCCCAGAGAAACATGTAAAAATGTTTGTCTTGAAAGACAGCCTTCAGTGTCATGTGGGTGTCACTGTGTTTATGTTGGAGTGCGTTTCCTCCATCTTCTCGGGCTCTCCTCCTCATCACCATACCAACCCAGCCCTTTCCCCACTCATTGCTACAGAGACATCGGATACTGAAATTACCACCACCGAGATCATCAAGCGCCGTGACGTGGGACCCTACGGCATTCGCTCCGAGTACTGCATCCGCAAAATCATCTGTCCGCTCGGAGTGCCAGAGACGCCGAAAGGTTAAACACACTTTTTTTTCCTGACACTGAAGAGAGAGTTAAGGTGGCCCGTGATCAATTAAAATGGAATATTTAGACTAACAAGACAAAAATGGATGAACTCATGTGACTATTTTTAGCCATCAGTTGTACTGCTTTTTTGTGTTGCAATGTTAAAAAAATGACACAATAACTTTAATGATCTGTTACTGATGCACCATCCCAGAAACCCACACCCCTCAGAGGAAGGGGCTGCGTTCCAGTGCCTTGCGCCCTAAGAAGCCTGAGCCTGCCAAGCAGACGGGCCCAGTGGTGATCGAGACCTGGGTGCCTGAGGAGGAGCTGGACCTGTGGGAGATCAGAGCCTTCTCAGAAAGGTCAGAGGGTGAAGCATGGAGAGTGGTTCAGGCAGATGCACAAAATGTTTTTAATCCATGATATTTTCCTTTCATCGACGTAACATCTACGTTTTAGGATGTGTGGAACGATTGTCGAATATTTTAAATTTGTAGAACCTAACTTTGTTTATTTTCAACCGTCTGCTGAGATGTAAGCTTGGGGCTCTTTTTTCTTTTACAGGGTGGAGAAAGAGAAAGCTCAGGCTGCAGAGCAGGCCAAGGTACGTGCAGTTCAGTTCAGTCACTTTTCCATTGAATGTTCCATTTCTTGAAAGGCTCGTTGATCTTGAAAGTGATTATTAAAGAAAGCCTTTTTGAAAATGTGTTCCAACAGAGGCTTGTGTTTTACTTTTATTGGAGGAAAAGGTGCACATGTAACAGAAAACGCTTCTAAAGCCGCGTTCAGACCTTACGTTAGCGAGAACTTTGTAGGTAAAATTTGTAGCAGTGTGAACTGGCCTCTCTCAGTTTGACTCAAGCCGGCAGGTGGTGTCGCCTGTGACTCAGCTTGGCAAGTCACTAGTGGCTGGTTTTAGAATGTAAGGCGCGTCACCTGTTTCAACAGCCAATCAGCTTAGAGCATTGTCAGCTGGTTAAGTCGGTTACAAACTGTTAGCTTGTTAAAATGACAACGTTTTTGACGTATATTACACAAGGCTTAACATTTTCGTAAATAAAATCACAACATAAATTTGCATAAGCCCCCCGGGTATTCCATTGAAGCATGGCTCCAAATTTTCAACTCTCATTTTTGTGTTTTTGCTGTTTTATCATTACTGGAAATGCAACTGTAGCAAGTATCTCATCATTACCATCATTCATACTTTAAAAAAACTTTATAAATTATACCCAACTTACTAGGAAAAAAAGCCTGAAAAGATGTAAGTTAGAATTTAGATATAGAGAGTTTTCTCTATGGAGACGATACACTGTCTTCTCTAGTCCCATTGGTGTAAATTGGCAAGTCCCATAGCGTTGCAGAACGGTGCATTTCAAGTAGGTACAAGTTTCAACACGTCTCATTGCAAGTCTTTGGTCTGAACTTGGCTGAAAGAAGACACTGTTTGATTACTGGGATGTAGACACACTTGCTCTTTTTCAAGCAATGAGTGAAAGGTGGCGCAAGCCAACAGACTGCTGATGGTATCATTTGGCCAGGCAGCAAACGCCCAAACATCCCTGTCTATACCAAGCTATACCACTGTATCAGCTCACTTCTACTCGACAGATTTAATGTGTTGGCAGTTCTTTTGAAAACTTCTGTCATTGGTTTCTATGTTAATGTACTGACTGACTTTTATACCATCTCAGAAACGTCTGGAGCAGAAACCCGGCTCAGTCACAGCCACCCCAGCAGGGACTCCTGCAACACCCGTCGCCACGCCCAAAGTAATCGTCGGCTCAATCTCAGGCCAGGGCACCCCCAGCACCAAGGTGGTACTGTCCACCAAGATGGGCACCCCCGTCACATTCCAGCAGAACAAGAACTTCCAGCAGTCGTTCGCCACCTGGGTCAAGCAGGGTCAAAGCACACAAGGTACTTTATACAGTAGTGTAACTAAAAGCCAGTTTGCTGTCCTTGAGTCTGGTGGAGCTGCAGGGAAGCACAGTGTAATCTTTGTTTTTACCTAAACTGAGGGGCAGAGCATGTCACAACAAATCACTAGACGTGTTCACAAGAGAGACGCTATTCACCCTTGAAGTTGACATTGAGGTATAGTCCGTAATATATCTGTAACTCAAGATGTGTTCCTGGATTGGTTGTAATGAACTAGTCAGTATTGATATGTTTGTACAACAAAGTGTGAAGCTTCCTGAAAATCTGGTTTTCTTTTTCATGCGTATGATCGTGTTTTCAGCCTGTTGATTTGCCGTGGGGGATATCGAAGTTTATTAAAAATAGTAATGATATTGGGTTTTAAATAGTAACAGTATTTATCGTAATATTTTGTTTGTTTGCTTGCTTCATTAGGAACGGGCACGGAGACCTCCGTAGCCTCGTCTGGTGGGCACACCTTCCAGATTACAGGAACCTCAGTGGGCGGAAAGGTGGTGACCACCAAGTTACCGCTGCCCGCCAACAGCAAGATCGTCACAGTCAATGTGCCAACTTCACAAGGAGGTACTGCGGGTTTTAATAAGTCACACCTCTGAGGGCACAAATTACATTTATTCAGTGTGTAGACGTTTCTTCTTTCCATCAACCACAGTTTGGGGATGCATGTATGTTTGTGTTTTCATTGCTTCACCTCGGACCCACAGCTGAGACGTTTCAAAGGTGTCAGAGGAGCCAAATTAGATCTGGCTCATTAATTGGATGCCATTGTAAGCAATTTAACGTGCCAACCACGCGCACGGCGCTGTAGAAGTACTGAGCCTGTCTTCACTCATTTCAAATGTTACTGGTGCCAGCAACCGCAGGCCCAAATATTTTGAAGTCTCCCTATTAGACACAAATTAGACATTCCTCTGTCCTTGATTACCACTGTCAGTGAGCCAAGGACACAAGTAGACGGTCGGTTTAAAGGGCCACATCTTAGCAGAACTATGGGGCTCAAGTGTTCAGCCTTATTAAACACACTGGCCTCACTGAATCAGTCACACAGCTGTCACAGTTAGTTTGGCCATGGTGTTAATGCAGCCATATTTTTCTTTACATGCTTGAAATCAGGCACTTCATTTAGCCAGGTTCAGACCTCAGAATTATCACTCACGTTCCCGATTAGTTCAGTGATTCCCTGTTAGCTTTAATTTGCAAGTTTGTCCTTTAGTGATGTTGTAGATTCATCCTAAAACATTTTGTTTTATTGAATATATTGTAGCACTTCTGATGGCCTTATTGCATGTCAAAATAAGCAACCAATCAGAGCCGAGGAGTCTGTACTGCAGCTGTCAACTGTGTCAATCACAGCTAAACAGTACACTAAAATATGTTTCTGAAAACACTTGAGGTGAAAAATAGGCAATCCAATTACAGGATCTTGATTCATATCTGATCAGAGTAGTATGACAGTTTGGCAGCAGTTCACGAGCAGTGATTGACTGTGCCACAGTAGATTGCAAATGCCATTAGATGCATATCTGAATCGTCACTGCAGCCAAGGAATGACTCTAAGAGAAAAAAGTTGTACTTTTTAACCATGGAAAATCACAAATTAAAGCTTTTAAACCAAATTCTTCACAACCGGAAATGCTCCAGCAGGAATATGATCCGAATTCAAGGACATCAGCAGCCAAGTTTATGTTTCCCTGAGGCTGACATGTAGCCGCAAGTAAGGGTGTATTTAATATAAACACTTGCAATGACATGCATGGAGCAGGTAACCATATAAAGTAATCCATCACAAGCTACAGAAAAGCAGCTTGTGATGGAAAGCAAAATACAGAAAAGCATAAAAGGTCCTCTTTAAGCTTTTTGTTCCATCTGTTTCCAGCTGCACAAATGTAAAAGGTGCGACCATTTCAGAAGCAGTCAGTCACTCGCTGTGTTTTGTGCTACTGTAGCAGCGTGGTCTGCACCAGCCCCATTGTGGTGCCCGCCATGTGCCAACCTCATGCGTCAGCAGCTTAGTTTGGAGTGGCACATCATGTCTGGCTGTGTCCCGTCGGCATGGTAATCTAATAGAAAGCTGTTATTTTGGTTGGATGGTTTTTGGGATGGTAGACTTGTGTAGTCTGAAGTTCTAAATTCAGCCCTGCAGATTCAGGATTGTACTATCTTAAGAGAGGTGCTTTTCAACTTTTGGCAGCGTCAATATTGACACCGCAGGGATGAGACGATGGTTTGTACTGAGCACCACCTGGCCTGTCTGTGGTCCTGTCAAATTACTGGATGATGGATATTGCTCAACACTCGGTAGAGGTGGTCTGTCATGTTGACGTGTTCCATTTAAAGCTGCTGACAGCTCTCATGTGGGTTACAGAGGTCAGATTCAGCTTTCTTTAAATCAATTACTGGACTACATGCTGCGTGCACAGGATGATTTTGAAATTCAAATGTGGCATTTGAACCAGAACAACATCCGATAGGAGAGGTTAGTCTGGAAATTTAGGAACCTTTCTAAGATGTACCCACAGATCAGCCAACTGATTTGGATTCACAGGTTTAAACTCTTTTACAGCTTTAACAACAAGTCAGTTTTATCCTTTCTGAAAAGCTGAGTAACAGAAAAATGTGGAGAGAACTGAAGAGATGTTAATTTTTTAAACATGACGCAATAATGATGGCACTAAAAATAGCATCTCAGTATACAGTAAATGTATCATTTAATACAGACTTGCTTAAATAAATCTTTGCATTCATCAGATGAAGAGAATGATTTTCACCGAGCATACAAAGAAAGTGATTTTTCTTCCCTTTGAAGTTACCATGAAGGAGAAACTAAGTTCAGGTGGAGTGTAACCATTTAATGGACATGTGTATTTATCCAGCATGACTGTTGGGCGCCCTGTTTGTTTTGGAAGGGCTTAAGGAAGTTAGGCAGGAAAACAAGTTTACCCTGAGGTCTGCTTCCCAGACAGGTAGGCCTCTATAGCGGGATTCCATTTTTCTTTTTTTCCCTCCGTCTTTTTGAATAAAAGTGGACCTCTCTACTCACCGGAGTCCCAACTCCCCGACCTCTCCAAACAGCCAGCCCATAGAAAAGCGTGTTTGATGTGTGTGACCAGAGCAGCTACTCCCCTGGTCTTACGACCGGTTTTAACGTTCCTGTTTGAAGAGGGAAACCCTTGATGTATAGGTTTACCTGCTCGGTTGCGGTCGAAAAACCGCAGTGAGAAGGCAGCAGAAGGAAAAAGAACGACACTCTCATGGTTTCCATTTCTGCCATTGGCTTCACGTGAGCTCATTAAGGCACAGAGCCTGGTGAACAAATATGAAACGCTCCCTTTGTCAGGTTAAAGTTAAAAAGTAGGATCTGAACTCATGCATAATTTATCAGGGGGGTTCAGGTATGTTGGGGGAAACCCAACTAAGCTTTCAGTGAGCCTTTGAAGATTTTGTTTACCTGCTCAACTAATATTTACTGTTGCTGTGATCAAAAGCTGGCCATCGCGCAAGGAGAGAAGCCCACAAATAATGTATTGAGTTGTATCAACGCAGGACTTCTGTACAACTGCTCGCTTGTGACACGCGAACATGTAGCCGCTGCTTCACATCAGTAATTGTATTACGATGTTTAAGCTTTTTCAAATGTGCTGGTGGATGTGTTTGATGTAGTAAAAGGCAGGTATTTGACTTGTAAACATCATTGATCTCTAAAAATATAAGCTTACAAGCAGTCCTGTGAGAATATAATTAAAATTGTATCTTTAAACCACACGTCTGTTTAAACTACCCTCATAGATAAACTGTCCCTTCCTTGTAGCATTTTTCTCTCTGTCTCTTACTTGACTTCACTTTAAGTTTTTCCTTGTCATTTCTTCATCTTTCCACCAGTTCTGTTCTTGTCTTGACTGATAATTAAAATTGACAGGCTGCTTCCTGGGAAACCTTGACTTCGCCCCACCCCTCTCCTCATGCCTCTCTCTTCTCATTTGTTCACTCTGGTATCTTTCTGTTTCTCTTTTCTCTGCAGGTGTGGTTCAGCAGAAAGTGCTGGGTATCATTCCCTCCAGCACAGCAGGCGGTGCTCAGACCTACACCACATTCCAGCCCCGCACCACCACGCTCAACATCAGGCCCAATACCCCAGGCTCCCAGCAACAGGTACAACCGCCTTCTCCCTGCTCTGAAGTGTCTATAGAGTTGTTTTGACTTAGTGTGTTCATCCCTTATGTGATCACAGCTGTAGTCTGTACATTATCTGCTTTCTGCTTTGTTTCGTTTTCATTGAATTTTCTACTATGTTTGTAAAAAAGCTCTCACATTACTGATTTTGTAGCCTGTGCTGTTGGTACTTTTTAAACTTTATAGAGCTGGTTATATCTCCATTTTCTCTATACGTAATTTTATAGAATATAATGAATAATTTTTCATCAGCTCCAGGTGCGCCCCTCTGCACCTTTTGACCTCTTTTTTATCTTTTAAAACACTGGGTTGAAGCAAACAATTAATAATATCTTCATGAAAATATCCTTTTAGGTACTGGCAGCTGGTGGTCAGATCCGTCCAGGCATGACAGTGATCCGAACACCGATCCAGCAGACAGGACCAATGGGAAAGACGATACTCCGAACACCCCTCATGGTCCAACAAGGTAATGCACTCTTTGTGAGAGTTTGACTTCTTTTCAGTTGGAAAACCTTAAAGAAATACTGCACACTGCAGGGTGGTGCCCGCCCACATCTCCTGGAAGATGTCAATGGAAAAATTCCAGTCAAATATCATCTGTTTTTATTGAGCTTAAAAAGCAATTGATAGGCAGGCTTTATGAAGTATGACATCATCATGGCATGTAGATTCATAATTTTTTCTTTTGATTTATAATCCAAATTCAATAGACTTACATACATGGTAATGCTATTTTAAAACTAGATATATGATGCTAGCCTACGTTTCTTGGTGCAACACACAAATGCAAAGAATTTCCTTCAGCTTTAGACCTACATTTTATCAGATAAAATCAAAAAGAATAAAAACTATTTGAATAAAAAATACATGTAGGCCTATCTGGCTCACAACATTTTAACTACGGCATGCGGCAGTTGACTTGAAATAATTTCCATTCGCTATAGGCCTTTTCTCCTATTATCTCCATTATGACCAGAAAACATTAAATATGTCAGACTGCGACAGATTTTCCCTATTAAAAAAACTGATAACGTAAACCCTTGCATACTGGCAGCAGGTCTAGAAACAACCTAAAATGGGACTGTTTCATGCCCTCTTTGTAAATCAGTGCATGGGCGGGTGTCTGTGAATGTGTAATCTCCCTCTTCTTGCTAAATTCTGAAACTACAACAGCTGTCCGGAGCAGATTGGGGACCTTTAATGTCTGCACATATGAAACTCTAGTTAAAAGTACTATCTTAATTCACCTTTCTCTTCCAGGTCAGGGTGGACAGCAAGTGGTGACGCAGATCATTCGTGGCCAGGCAGTTTCCACAGCAATATCTGGTGCCAGCCCTGTCGCCACGGTTACCGGCCAGGGGGCAGCCAGCCCCACCACGGCAGGACAGGCGGCAGGCCAAACACCACCTGGCACCCCGCGGGCGCAGGGGCAAGGCCAGGTTAAACTCACCCTGGCGCAGCTCACCCAGCTCACACAGGTTAGTGAAGGACAGCGAAAATTCCCGGATGTCTTGTGTCACACTGCCCAGATAGCAATGAAATTTGATTTAAAATAAAGGATACCATGGCCTGTAACTTGTTATACAAAAATTTTTGATCATATCAGACATGTACACTCCTTTGGACAGCCTTAGTGTAAGATTTGTACACAGTATTTCTCCACATGTTTTCCTTTAATTACAGTAAGAGGAAAAAGACATTCAAATGGGGAAGTATTCAGATTAATTCATTGATCTTTCAAAGATATGAACTATAACAAGTATTATTTTAGCCTCAGCATGAAAGGATGATTATAAATTGTGTGGACGTCCATGTCTCCACAGAAATGGAACACGTATGATCTTAATTTTGAAATGTCGAGGCTACTTAGGTTCTCGGGAGTTCAGTTTTAAAAATTTCTACCAAAACAATTTTGCTTTTAAAAGTCAAAGACCCCAGTATCAAGTATACGGTTTAATGGGCTTTATAACCACATCCCAGCAACAGTTCATGACCCAGCTCAAGTTCTCTTAGAGGACAAAGGGAAACTCTCCAAAAGCTTGTGAGAGACAGAGCCCCCCGTCTGTGGTGGAGCCAACAGCTACAAACACTTTTACCAATCTGAAACAAGGTTTGAGACTTTGTGGGGGAAAATGGGATAACTATCATTCATTTATGCTTTGGATAATGGGATGTATCCACCTTTTATTACCAAAGGCAGTTTCATTTGTATTAAGACTGAGAGGTACAGTGTGACTCACCTACTCCTCTCTACCTCTCGTAGAAGCAGCAGGCTGGGTCAGGTGTGGATCGGCAGGCTGGTGTCAGTGGTACCCAGCAGGCTCTGACGGTGATGGTTCAGGGACAGGGCCAGACCACCGGCCAGCTGCAGGTCATACCTCACGGGGTCACCGTCATCCCAGGACCCGGTCAGCAGCTAATGCAGGCAGCGCTGCCCAACGGCCAGGTGCAGCGCTTCCTCTTCACCCCTTTGGCCTCAGCTGCCACACCCACATCAAGCACAGGTACAAGAAACAAGCACTGATCACTGGACAGACAAACTCTCAAACTGCAGACAATGAGGGCGACATTTTGACGATGACATTCTCCTGCTCACCTCTGACCTCTATCTCTCTTTTTCTCCAGCCACCACAGTCCCAGGCCAGCCCAACTCCACCTCCACCAAGACCCCAGCCCAGCCCGCCCAGCAGGCTGCTGCCCCCGTCCAGGCAGGCGCGATCCCCTTAGCCACCACCAGCACCCCTTCGTCAGCCACCCCGCAGGGCCAGCTACCCCCTCAGACGCAGGCTCACATGCCCATTCAGTCTCCCACCTCGCTGCAGGTGAAAACGCAGGGAGGAACCGCCCAGCTGCAGCTGCAGCAGACGCCCCAGCTCATCAGTATGTCTGGACTGCAGCAGCAGGTACAGGTATGATTAGCAAAGAGACACTATGATACATTGTCAGCTACGAAGTCACTCCACTTCCCAAAACGGCTGTAGCTCAGATGACCTTGAACAACTTAGCAACTGCTCAGGTGATGCCACATAGTGTCCAGCAGACTTCAAACTATAAAACCTAGGTCATGCTATGAACTGCTAATTTAATAGATCCAGCTATTCTTAAGGTGGCGCCCTTTTAAATGAAGGGTGACATTAGGCTGACAGTGTGATCTAACTAATCCAAAACAACCCTGGTTGTCTTTTCAGCTTTGTTAAATTTGTGTATCTTCTGTGTTGTGACTGCAGGTGTTGGCGCAGCTGCAGGCCCAGCAGGGTGGAGGCTCACTGCCACAGCACATCAAACTGCAGCTTCCTATCCAGATACAACAGACCGGCACCACCTCAGCTCAGGGAGGACAGGTAGTGCAGCAAGCCTTCGAAACCAGACCCTAACTTAGATCACCTTCACAGGACTTTGTTTAAGGGTTTTGGTCCTTTGAGGAAAACAAATCAGAAAATGTTCTGTGCACTGTTTCACACATTTAGACAGAGTAATCCAAACTGTATACCTCCTCACACCATGCTGTCTGCACAGATTGGGAATGTAGTGACCATCCAGGCAGCTTCTGTCCAGGAGCAGCTGCAGAGAATCCAGCAGCTCAGAGAACAGCAACAGCAGAAGAAGAGACAAGCCGCAGAGGCCAAGAGAGAGCAAGCTCTCAACGCAGCCAGCCAGAGCGACATCATTCAGAAACAGGTGTGTGTGTGTGTCTGTGTGTGTGTGTGTGTCTGTGTGAGCTTGCTCAGGCGCCCATCGGAGCCAGGCCATCCGTCTCTGTCCAAGGCTCACTCTCTTCCTGCCATCAGTACATAAACAGTCACCATCCTCCAACCCTCCACTAAGGCTGCGTTTGTTTTTACAGCTCGGGCCCTGTCTCTGTTTGTTGAGCTTAATTCCACTGCTACTACTGTGTGCGTATGTTTGTGTGTTTTCACCTGTCCCTGTGTGTATTTGACACACTGTACTGTCTGGTCCATTGCTGTAGATATTTGTAGTGCACATTAAACATCACTAAATACACAAAGGGTTGTCACAAAGTCCAGGTGATTGTATGTTTTTGTTTAATTTTGTACTTTTGCCACTCTTTTTTTCTGCTTCACTGTAGCAGTTTCCTCTCACACCATAAATATCTTTCCTCTTGCTTAACATGTAGTTTGTTCTGACATCTTCCTGCGGGGTGTGTTTCAGGTGGTGATGAAGCAAAACGCTGTGATCGAGCACCTGAAGCAGAAGAAGACAATGACGCCTGCAGAGAGAGAAGAGAATCAGAGGTTTGTGTCCAGAAGTTGTCACTCTGTGTGTGTTGGGTGGGTCCTGTAAGAGAGATTATAGGTATGATATTTTGCACGCATTCAAAGGTGTCATTTCAAGAGGGAAAAGAGCATGCACACCATAGACATGGAAAGTAGCACAGACATTATGTTTAGAGTCATAATCTGTAGGACACTTATTCTTCGTTCAGTTCTTATGTACCCATGTTCTGATCATATGGATCTCACGTGGGCCGCCTGTACACTGTCCTCTCCCCTCTTCATTTGACTGTTATCCAAACACCACGTTGGGAGGTACTACACAGCGTGGGAACTTTTGGGTGTGTAACCACCAACAGCTGCATGCACTCACTGTGACCCTACAAGCACGAACACAAAGATGTATAAATGAGAGGAGTTGCACAATAAAATCACACAAGGCCCCTCAAACCTTACACCAATTTGTAGGGATGCAGCACTATATTATAAAAAGTCTATTAGCTTGGCATCATTTGCCAAATAATTCAAGTGGAAACAGACAACGTTTTCCTCCCTACTGTTTCCAAGTGGTGTTATTGTTGGCACCAGGTTGTCTCAAAAACAACTGGATTTTTTCAAAGCCTAGCAACTATCACAGTTTCCTAAAATTACTTCAGTTGTTCCAGTCTCTGCATTTCCACTACTGGAGATAGTAAAGATGCGAAGACTTTACAGTGATACTCTTTGGTAAATGGGGATAGCTACCGATAGCTACTGGGGAAAACAAAAGTGCTGTCCTCCTCCTGTTTTAATTGTGCAGTGGTTGAGGCACTTCTTTTGTGTCATAAATTGAACCTACATTTTCCCAGAATATTGTACCCGGTGGCAGACAGCACTGCACAGTAAAAGTGAGATTAAAGTGATGGTGTCATTATTCAGTAGCCATTGCATTTGCAGTTAGCATTTATTACATAATGATAAATTAAAGCAAAACCTTGTCTGTTTCCACTGTAAGATAAAAAAAAAAAAAAAAAGCAGCTTCCCTTTGAGTACATACCGTGTACATACGGTGGAGTGGGATTTGTGGGTTTCAGTTTATAAACACAAAATTCAAAGTTGGCCACTCCTCCCTGGCTTCTCCTGGACACGTGCTTATGATCTGGAATGTTGCTATAACGTTTTTATAGAGTCCCACCCTCACACCATATGCGCTGATATTGGCAGGTGACCAAAGGTTGATGCCCAGAAGCATCCTGAATACAGCAAAATAAAAGAAACAAACACTGCCAGGCCTCAAGTACATCTAGTGGGTCATATGATGATTGTGCTGGATTATTTTCATATGATTGTATAGATTGCTTTTAGGAAAATCCTCCTCATTCTGCCTTTGATCTGTTAGCACTCCACTGACAAGTACTACTGTTGGTGTACTGACACTGCTTTGTCAAGACCAGTTGTTATTTCCTGAAGGCCAGGTACTGTAGCGCCCAAGAGACTTTCTAACTCTCTTAAGACCCACTGTGTCAAAAATTTATGTTCACCTACTTTTAACCTTGAAAAAGGCGCATTTTTTTTCTGTAGTATTGATACACCGGTACCAGCTGTACTTTCACTCTCTCCCTTATTGTTAATGTTTACTACAGTCATTCAGCCGTTCTCTGCTACTAACAAAGAAAGGAAAAGTCGTTGTTGTCATGTTATAGCCATGTGTCATGTCAATTTTTCCCTGTGTTACCGAAAATGATATGAAATATTGATATGATATTTTTCAAGGTATAATATCAAATTTAGAAGTTGTAGTATTGTGACACTACTAAGTAAAGTTAGGACCACTACAACCATCAAAACAAAAACACAATCTTTAAAATAGAAGTCATAGTAGTGGATTGTTTAGAAAGGCTTCCCTCCTGTTTTATATGTTGTAGGTAGAGTATACTCTGACCTACAGTTAACCCTGACAACCATGTGTTTATGTCCACAGACGGTGTGTCAACACTGTACCCATTCACACAAACCTGAAATACCAAACCCAGACTACCGTGACATCACTACAGCAGCTCTGTCTGTTGTCTGTCTCTCCACTTATTTTTCATCCTTTTTTCCATTTCTTCATGTCATCCTTCTTTCTCTTGCTTTTCCTTTAGAACACAGCTCGGTCAGTAACAACCTGGAACTCTGACATCAGCATGCGTGTGTTTGTGTGTACTGTTTCATTAGCCTCCTCCACTTTCACGCTGCATTTGCAGTGTGTACTTCAGTGGACAAGCTTAAGGAACCGCGGCCCATCTCTGACCTCAGCAGCCAGCGTGTTTGTGCGTTATTCACACAAACGTGCACTGAACACAGCCTTCTGGCGCTGAACGTGAACCAGCAGTTTTCTATGTTAGTTGTGAATGTTAGCGAACACAAGTGAACATGCAGGAGCCACAGAGCCATGAAATGTCTTGATTTACTGTAATATACTGACGTCTAGTTTCGTCAAATGTTTGTGAAGAGTTTCTACAGTATCATCCAATTTTTTTTTCTCTTCTAAATTACTTGATATTTCTTGTAGTTTCCTTTTTGATTTGCAGGAAGTTGTGTCATCACACAGTATAGGACTCTACACACTCTACTCGCTTTGAATCCCCATGGGCATTATACTTTGCTTGAATTTGTACACGACCTTTCTTCCTCCCTTTCCCATGTTTACATGAGCGGTGTGGCTTCTCAGTCGTCATCTATCTGCCCATCTCTCACCATACCTCTCTCCCAACCCTCACGTCCACTCCCATGCTACTGAAGCACAGAGTCTCATGCAAATAAACACTGGACAACCAAACATCCCTCTAACATCTGTGAGACACGTGGCCCAGTAACTCTGACTGCTTGGTTCTCACAGGGAGGATGACACAACGGCATCGCTTTTAGGTTCAGTGACTGAAAAGGCTATGTTGTGTAATTATGTGACTGGTCTCTCAAGTCTGCAGCCAGTTGCAACTGTTTTTTTGGAAGCTACACCATCTATTCCCTCTGCATGTCGACATAGTACTTTTGGAAGTTGTTGGGAAAAGCAGTTCAATTTTTATTTCAGCCCTTGTTTGCTAGTTCACATCAGAGAAGGGAAAGATTTCGAGGCAGATAGGGATGGGATATAAGAAAAGTCTCAGTCAAACCCTGGCCTTTGTAGTTAAATAGTTTACTCACCAGAATACCTCAAGGACATGCGTTGAGAGAAATACCTCCATTGTTCATTGACACACATACGCCATTGCGTACATGTGGAAAGTTTCAATGTTCGCGTTTTTGAAGTAGCCAATAGCCATGCAGGTCTCACTAGCTGAAACATTGAGGCATTGTTTGGATTAATACTCCATCCTGCCCACTGGTGTGTCAGAGGGATAACTTTCTTCCTCTGTGACTTCGACTGTACTGACTTTCTGAATTCAAGATTCAGATATGTGATAATCCTTTCCCTCCCTGCTCTTTCATCCGCCTCTCTCAGCAGGAGTATTATGTGCAGTTTATGCCTTAAAAATACCCTGAATGGGCCACAGCCCTTTTTCACATGGGTCCTCATTAGACTGGATATTTCTTGACCTGTGTTTGAAGGCGAGACTATACGTACATTACTGTATTATAGGAGCTGTTCATTCGCAATATACAGCGCTCCATTATTCTTGACAATATGCATTTATGGTCCTATAACTTTTCAAAGCTCAGGAGGACATAAGTCTGTAATTAATTCCTTTCCTATCGTCCTTTCTCCTGTCTGTGTCTGTCCAGGATGATTGTATGCAACCAGGTAATGAAGTACATCCTAGACCGGATAGACAAGGATGAGAGGCAGGCGGCCAAGAGGAGGAAGAAGGAGGAGGTGGTCGAGGCAAAAAGGAGGTTGGCCAACGCCAGCAAGCTCTCCTCGCTTCTTTACCGGCACAAAGAGAGCCTCAAGATGGAGATCCTGAAGAAGCGGGCGCTTCTCGACAAGGAGCTGCAGCTAGAGGCCCAGGTATTATGAAGGCAGGGAGAGAGGTAGCAGAAAAATAAGGAGCGTAATCTGTGTTCATTCAAATATCATCCAACCTATACATTTTCAAAACAAGCAGCTACAAAAACAGTAAGGAGAAGAATGCATAAAGCTTCACACACTCAGCGTGCTCCTTTGAAACGTTATTAATCATAAATGACAGAATCTGAATTTTAAACATGCACTCCACCCCTTTTTAACCCCATCTGTCCTGTCCTGACACTCCAAGGAGGAACTAAAGAGGGACCTGTTGCGGATGCGAAGGGAGAAAGAGAGAGCTCAGGCTGCAGCCCAACAGGCTGCCCAGGCTGCAGCCGCCGCCGCTGCTGCCCACAACCAGCAACAGCATACTCTGGCACACACGCATGGCGTCACCTCTCAGCACCACCTCACCATGAACGTCACCTCCACACACAAAAGGAAACGGGAAGAGGAGAGGGAGATGGCGACGTCAGCCAAGTCCAAGAAAAAGAAGATGATCTCGACAACAAGCACCAAGGAGAGCAAAAAGGATACCAAGCTCTACTGCATCTGCAAGACGCCCTACGACGAGACCAAGTATGATGATGCTCTCTGGAGTACTCTCTAATTAATATACTATTGACCCAGATGGTAGGTGTGGTAGTAGTAAGCCAATAAAAAACTGACTTAAATAGAGAATTCCTCAGTAACGAGAAATGTAATGGCCCCAAGTTTTGGTCCCTGCCTACCAGAAAGTCCCAGCTTCTAAAGTTGTATTTTGCAGTGGCCCAGAAACTATAAGGGTAGAATTTACTGTCAAACACAAGCCTCCAGATTGCAGCAAGTGTAGCACATTCATTCAGCCTGTAAGCAAGCACTGGGTGTAGAATCAATATTAGGATGAGGGATGGAATTCCGTTCAAAGTTGATGTTTAAACGTCACCTATGCAGCCACTTCCTGACTAGTAAAAACAGGAAAAAAAAGTGAAAACTATTTGCTAATTGCATCAATGCGGTCACGTAGCAGAGGACAAACACCCCCAAAAAAACACAGTTTATTCCTGCATCTTGCCTTTCTGTCAGTCTGTTCCTTTTTTTAACTTCACTTCACACATCACACAAAGAAAAGTACAAATGTAGTGGAAACATAAACATAAAAACGAGTGTAATCTATTGCATGACAACCTAATTTAAAACTAATGTTTTAAAAACCAGAATAAAGTTTGTTATATTTATTGACAAACTGTACACTAGTCGGTGTCTCCTGCAGTTAGACATAGTGACAACACCTTTTGTATCCTTTTTCTCTCCGAAGGTTTTACATTGGCTGCGACCTGTGCACCAACTGGTATCACGGAGACTGTGTGGGCATCACGGAGAAGGAGGCCAAGAAGATGGACGACTACATCTGTGTGGAGTGTAAACGAGGTCAGGAAGGCAGCACAGAGGAGCTGTACTGCATCTGTCAGACGCCGTACGACGAGTCCCAGTAAGGAGCTGCATGAGCATGTGTTTGTGTTTGTGTGCCTTATGCTGTGTTCACATGAGAGGCGATACAGCAACACGCTGCAAATCATTTTTGGTTCTGTTACTGTGTTATTTAGCTAAGCAAGCTGACGCAGTGTGAGCTTTCTGAGCATTGTGGTGCACACAGGGATGCAATGGAGCAGTGAAATGTGAAGTTAAAATTAAGGATAGACCGATACATCGGCCGGCCGATATATCAGGCCGATATTTGAGTTTTTTACTTGTATCGGCATCGGCCGATATGCGCGTGGGTTCGCAGATTTATTTTTCCCTGGCATGATTTACAGACAGGCATCCACGGGCAGCTCTGTGTTGCCGGAAGACCCTGCAGCGCACATGCAGCGAATCCTACTGTGTACAGTAGTTGTTGTTTTATTTATGCTTCAGCTTAAATATTTGTTTATTTTATAAAGACATTACTGGAAGATTTAAGAGCACTGAACTCTTTTTTTATTTGAATGTATAATAATAATAATAATAATAATATTCTACCTGTTCTACCTCAACTTTCCATCTTGTTTTAGTATTTTTTACTGTTCAATAAATGTTTCTTATTTTAAACTTGAGACCTGTAATATTTGTTATCATTGTGTCATTTTTTTTTTTTATGTAAATTGAGGGAGCAAAAGCAGTATCGGCCCCAAATATCGGCTCAAGAAAATCGGCAGTCCATAATTGGTCATCGGCTAAGGGTGATGGAAAAAAATCGGTATCGGCATCGGCCCTAAAAAATCCATATCGGTCTATCCCTAGTTAAAATGGGGCTCAGACATGAATCAAAAGCATAGATATTGTTTGACCAGATACAAACTTTAGATGGCGTACAGTCAAGGTGCCGAAGAAGCAGAAGAAAGTGTCCTGTGTTTGTCTGAGATAACTACAGCTCCTGTACATTAACCCACCTGTCGAACCATCGTCTCTTTTTCTTGATTGTTAACAACAATTTATTTATTTATAAAGCACTTTGAAATGTAGAGTACCCTACATCACAAGTTAAACTACTTTCCATCTTCCCAGGTTCTACATCGGCTGTGACCGGTGTCAGAACTGGTACCACGGTCGCTGTGTGGGCATTCTGCAGAGCGAGGCCAACCACATCGACGAGTACGTGTGCCCACAGTGTCAGTCGACGGAGGACGCCATGACGGTCTTCACGCCGCTTACTGACAAGGACTACGAGGGCCTGCGGAGAATCCTGCGTTCGTTACAGGTGAGCGTTTTTTGTAGCTGCACAAACACGTGTGCTGACAGTGTACGGTTAACAGCAGTGATTAAAATATTTGTACCACAGTCAAGCTAGTTAAGGTCATTTCATTTACCTGGTGTCCCTGGTTATGTTACGTTTTTATAATACAATGCTGACCAAAACAGTGGGTAATCTGAATTTTGGGGAGGTTTACTCTCTACGCCATCACTGCACATTTACTCTGCAGGTAGTTGGACACTTTAAGCAGTAGCTGACGCAGCAGCAGCACTGTAGTGGTAGTTTTATTATAAGTGATATAGCGAACAGTGACACAGCTCCTCATCGCCCCACTACAGTGTAAGAGCAGCAAACAAAAGTCCTCTGTGTCGGTCTTATCTGATGGGTTCATCTCCCCAGAGTGCTACTTGGACAGCTGCCCGGCCTCTGCATTTTTTTCTAGTTTCCCTTTCTTTTCTCCTCTTGCCTCCTCTCTCCTTTCCCTCTTTCCAGCAGTCTGTGTATGTGTGAGAGAGATGGAAATGTGGAAGAAAGTAAGAGGGAACATCTGTGTTGACCCACCTGCTTCCAGTGTCATTTTCATGGTGCTGTTTGTTTTTCTTCATCGGTTTCAGCTTTCTCAAGTGTCTTGTCTTTCTCTTTATCTCTCCCTCTCGGCCCCTCCCTCCTCCGCAGGCACATAAAATGGCATGGCCGTTCCTGGAGCCAGTGGACACAAACGACGCCCCAGATTACTACAGGGTTATTAAGGAACCAATGGGTGAGTGGAGGAAAAGTGTAAAAGCACACACACACACACACACACACACAACACTGACAACAAGGTTTGTGATTGAATGTTTTCCAACTGCTGTACGCAAGGAATTAGCCTCCAGTCCTGTTTGGGTCGATCGTACTCTGGAGCCGAGCCTTTTCTGTGTTCTTTATGCCAGTGAGAGCTTTTATGTGTGCACATATTGAGCATATTAAATGTTCTCACTTTTCCCCTCTTTTTTTCTGAGTATTATAACTGACTTGCTCACTTTTTTTCTCCACTGTTTCTTTTGATAGCCTTTTGTACGTTGGCTGACGCAGGCAAACAGCACAAAAACTCCCATGAGAAGAGACAGGCTGCAGCTTAACAAATGATGCTTAATCACAAACACATACAAAAGTCCAAAACAAATACAACAACTGAAACATGCTGGAAATGGAAATGTTTTTGGTCGTTGTAGCTCGTTTGCCCTTGTCAGCCAAAGTGCATATCAATGAGAAAAAAATCTAGAAATTCTATACAAATCTGAAGTATCATACAAATGTTACGTGTTCTACGTTATTTACTTCAGTTCAAAGTCCTTTTTTTTTTAGTTAGTATTTGTGGAAGAAACCCTCAGAAACAATGCTGTGAGACATTAAATGGCAAAGCAGCACAACAGTTGTTAGCGAGTCAAGCTGCTTCGGCCCTTGGCATCTATTTCAATGACATTTCAGTGCAAAAAAATGATCTGTCAAGGATTCTGATAATCAAATTACTGCTTAAGTCATTTATCAAGGTAAAATACCAAATATTAACTGTAGGGATGCGCCGAATATTGCAAAAAAACACACATTCGGTATTCGGTGGAATAAGTTAAAAGCAAGGCCGAATAATAGCGGCGTGTTTTGATAACACAATCAAACAGCTTGCCGTGACAGGCGGAGTAAAATGTCGGTAGTGTGGCGATCCGCCCGTCACGGCACTCGCATTTGCGACTAAAAATAATTTTGAGCGAGCAAAATAGGCTTAAATCATTCAGCACGCTGTGCGAGCAGCCTACAGATTTCAACCATCAGCAGAAACGAAAGGCGAATCCCATCGGTTGTGGGTTGAACGGGGGTCACAGACACAGACAGTATGTATTCCTGTCAAATACGGCGGCCATCGGCTTAACGTTACCGGCGACGGAGAAGTCGGTTCCAATAATATCCTCTTCTTGGTGTCATGACTGCCCAGAAGTACCTGAACAGCCGAGCCAGCCGAACACAGGTATGTGACGTGTCAGAGGAGAAACGAGCCGTTCACATTACTCTTTCTGGCAGTAACGGCCCACAAACCTCACCGCACTTTAGGGACTGTTCATTACTTATGAAGGGACTGTCAGGGGAGGAGGGTGGCTGGTTGATTCTTATTTTATTTATTTATTTTATTTTGATCCCCCCTATGTTAATCACTTATTGATGCTGTTTTTGAAGTATGAATAAGTCAATAAGTAATTTATTCCATTGAAATATCATTGATGTATTATAGAAAAATGATTTATCTTTTTATAAATGACAAAAGGCACATCTGCCTCATTTTTGCTGTGGTATCGTGATACTACTCAGAACCATGATATTTTCATTGGTATGGCACAGTGGGTCCCAATTTTGGTACCGTGACAACACTAATCTGGAGGGGGTTCATCTGCAAAAACTAATGAAAAACTAAACAACGATATTCGGTATTCGGCCAAGCGTTTAATAATATTCGGCTTCGGCTTCGGCCACAAATTTTCATTTCGGTGCATCCCTAGTTAACTGTATGAATGTGAGGACACATTCACACTGGTGCTATTTGGTCTGCTTTAAACAAACCCTGGTCCGCTTCCACGGATAATTCGGTTTATTTGGAGTGGTGTGAATGCTCATTCGAACTCTGGTGCGGACCAAACGAGTGAACCCTAGTCCGCTTGAAAACTGGGGGTCTTGGTTCACTTTCAAGTGAACTCTGGTGCGGTTCGTTTACAGTGGGAAATGCAAACGGACTATCCAGCGAACCAAAGAGAGGAAGTGACGTAGAGCGCAGTGCATTTTGGTTAGAAAAAAACAAAGCCAAACAGTGAAATGGAAGAAGCAGAGGTTAAAAAAAAAAAAAAGAAAGATAGAAAAAGTTGGAAAATGTCTCGTGGGCAGGCGTAGAGTAGTGAGGAGGTGCTGTGCGTATTGATGTATGGTCAGAGGACTGTATATCGCAGTTGCTTATGGCTACCCACAATGGATGAATGAAGGTGTGAAATTTTTTGGCATTCCCAGCCCAATCGGTCCGAGTTCCCCGGACTATCCTGGTGTGAAGAGGAATTTGTCACTCTTTTCTTCTTTATATCATTGTTGTTGTTGTTGTTGTTTTCTTTTTTTGGACAGTCTATTGAGCAAAATGAGCAACTTGACAAAGTCACCTTGGGCTATTTTCCCTGATTTCTGACATTTTACAGACATGATAAATGGCTTAATGGATTATTTGATAATGAAAGCAGTCATTAATGTTGCATCCCCAGAAAATTTCATACAAAATAATTGAAGGACCCAAAACAAAACATTAAAGGTAATATTAAAGAAAAGCAGTGATCCGTGCTATATTTTCTGAAATCAGAACTCTTAAAGACTGAAAACATCACATCTTTTGTGGACTGGTTTTACTAATGTCGACATGCTCTTACTGTTGCACTTTGTGGCTCTGTTATGCAGGAAAAAATAAAGACCATGACTCGTGAATCAGCACATCACCAAGACTGGGATTGTGAGCAATCCCTATTCGGAAGATCAAATTGCCTCAGTAGTGCTGTTTTCTTTTCATAATTGCTTTAGGTTACTGGAAGCAACAGCCGCTCTCTATATCTTAAACTGTGCAGCAAGCCACCAGGAGGCCAGCCGGGAGGAAGCCCTCCAACTCAGATCAAACTGGCCATGTAAATGGGGACTTACGTCAGCAGGGCCTTTTTGAACTTCCACACAAACAAACCGTTAATGAGCTGCTCCGGGTCTGCCGGGCTCCCCGTGGAAAGGGACCAGCCCCACACTCAGCTCCTGTTGGCCTGGTCCTGGAAACTCTAGTCCTCCCTCTCCCTTCCACCGCAAGAAAAAGACCTTGTTGGTTTTCAAAAAAAAAAGGGAGTATTTGGCTGGTGTAGCTGCAGCCGTTGGTAGTTTTTGGAGGGTTTTGAGATGAAATCTGATGACAGAGAAGAAGGAGGTCTTTGATATTGACCATGAGGTTTGTAAGCCCCTGGCCAGCTGGGTGGGGGTTAAGGAGGTTAAGAGTCGGATATGTTTGTTTAAAACGCAGCCTCGGGGACGCCGTGCAGAGCAAACCACCGGCAGCAGCAGATTATATGAAGCCTCGGTTGTTAGCTTCCTTGCTAACTCTTTTTTTTTTTTTTTTTTTTTTTTATTTTATTTTTTTTTTTTTTTTCAGTTTCTAACTTAACCAGGTTAGTAACACTGAAAGCTCCTTTTTATGGGAGACCTCGACTTGGAAGCACTCCTTTGACACTCGGATAATGACGCTCTCCTCAGGAATGACAAATCGGTCAGATCTCAGTAACTGATCTGGAAGGCTGAGAAGATCGAGGTTAAAGCTGGCAGAGGTTTTGGATTTTTGCTGTCACATATAAAGTGATGAACTGTGCTCCCAGGAAACATATTTGAATGTCTGTCAAACACATGCCACATAAGCTGCAATTACTTTGAAGCAGGCATGCTGATTTGTGGAACAAAGTCGATTAGAGGAGCCAGATATTTATCTGCTGCTTCCGCTTATGTGATGTTTGTCCCTGGCAAGAGTTCACGATTAAATGGCCATGTTTTTCTAGTCATTTCTGTTACATACTGTACATACAATCGTTAACCAAATATATTTCTTTAATCCCCTTTTCTTAGACCTTTCCACCATGGAGGAGAGGATACAGAAGCGCGAGTACATCAAGCTGACAGAGTTCGTAGCGGACATGACCAAAATCTTCGACAACTGCCGCTACTACAACCCCAGTGACTCGCCCTTCTACCAGTGTGCCGAAGTTCTGGAGACCTTCTTTGTCCAGAAACTGAAAGGGTTCAAAGCCAGCAGGTAAGATGGGGATGATGATGATGGTCAGCATTGATCGGGGAAACACAAAAATGGCAGCAGGTGACTTTGGGGAAAGGACGGCAGTGGAAGAGAAAGAGACCAATGTTACGTTCATACTGCAGACATTTCACATTGGTTTCTCAAATCTGACAGACTGTCGGCGCTGTTATTTGCAAGTGATCAGATCACATATGTGTGTCGAGACTCCAGACATCACTAACATATCTGCATGGGTTGCTGTGGTAACGATGTAGGCATCGGCAACTACTTAGCTACCTTAGTGACTTTGCTTCCTAACAGAGAGGCATGAAAAATGGAGGTCCCTTATTTCTTTCTCCAAACAATCACAGTACGGCGCTCCTCTGTCACACCAGACACACTCAGTGACAGAGCAGGCCAGTACACATTACGATGTCCCTTGCTGCAGTCATGGCGGGCTTCACTGTACAGTGAGAGCTGTGGTGCCATCTGCAGAGCACTAGCTGGTTGCGAGTGACACTTTGAAACCCAGTTTGAGCTGCCACAGCATCTTGACTGAGACACATCTGTAGAAATCCAACTGATACCACATTTCAAACCACCTCTAAATATGGTCAGTGTTTTTGTTTTTTTTGCTGTCCACACTTTGTAAAATAAACCTGTATACAATCTGGACAAGCCAGAAAACCAGATCTGGGCCGTCAGTCTGAACAAGTCATCAGCAGTTCCAGCTGTGTAGCTGATGTCGACCTCTGACCTCCTTGGAGGTTGGGTAGATACACTTTCTCCAATGAGAGCAGTAAAATCTAACCTCTCACATCAGATGCTTGTGGGGATCATTAACTCCTTCTTCTCTTTGATTTCCTGGGTTACCATCTTGTGCTTCCTCTAAACATTTAAGTCATATTTTTGTTACTGTTGTTTTGGGGTCATGACTGAATGCTCGTACAACATGCAGACTTCTTCTGTCCCCATAGAGAACAAATCGGCATAAAACACCAACACAATTCACATTGAAAGAAAAGCAAACCATGGCTCTGCATGGGACGCATGCCTTTTCCTACCCTCCCTACTCTTTTTTTCCCTGCAGACTGTATGAGCTTTCACTCACACCCTTGATCCTGTACAGTTTCATGTTGGTTGTATCTTCATTCAGCCTTCAGTCAGCTAATTTTCCACCCACAACAACATTTCTGCTTCAGCTTTCATCATGTAATGAAGGCGTATTTTTCTGCTGTGTTGTTTTAATGGAGTTCAGATTGAGCTCCTAAAACATATGTTAAGGAATAGTAAGTTGAAACTAAAAAAGCTCAACATAAGCAATTTGGTGAAATGGCAAAAAACTTTACAATCAATTTGTGCCACATAGGCTGGAAAGTACAAGAAATTAGAGCTTGATTATGCCAGATCTGGGCTGTTTTGTTCATCTGAGTATTTTCCAAATCCAGTTAAAGCGATGTTTTACTCTTTTTATTATGGCCTTAATGCTATTACTGCTGTTCCTGCCTACACTGTAGTAAGGAAGCAGTCAATAAGCCTTAATAACTCCACTATGATGTTGTGCCTCTGAACTCACCTCACTGCATTGCCCTCGCTGCATGATGTGATTGCTGTAGGTGGATGCACACTGCAAGCTTATAGCCACAAGTTGATTTATATGTACATACAATGCTAGTAGTTTATTTGCCTTTGCTGTATTGCAATTTGTTGATTTACCAAGCTGAACATTTAATAGTGTGTTTAAAGGAGCTGTATGCAACATTCAGAGTATATCTATAATTCACAGTCAAGGGTGAGACTGTCTGCACATGGTTCACAACATGGAGGTGGCTGAGCTGGCTGCTAGCAGCTAACAGTGCTAACTCCATAAGCAGCGCTATCAACAGCAACAGTGCTTACAGAGCTAACGTTATTAACCAGGGGGTAACGGGAGAGTGGTGCTACACTCCTGCGAAGTAAGGCTTAGATCGGGCCCAAGAAATCCAGCCCGACCCCACCCGAGCCTGTGCATGTTCTGTCCGGGCCCGGCCCGGCCCGGCCCGGCCCGTCCCTTTAACTGTAATTATGAGCCCGAGCCCGGTTTAAACCCGACATTTTACGATAGGATACGAACGTGGACATTGAAGGCTGACTCTCGTCTTTCTTTCCATGGCAAGCCTTCGCCATGTGCCTCTTAAGTGTCAAGGTCCCCGTCTTTTTGCTGTCATATACCAGCATTGCGCTGCATTTGGTACACTCGTCTTATTTTGATGCAAAGATTTGTACATTAGCAAGAATGTAGCGCAAAATAGAAGTGAAAGCAGTGCTCTGTTTATTTAAATGTGTGTGTAAAAGTGCAATAAAAATATTTTGTCCCTAAAAACAATGAAAAATCATGATCTCAATATTGATCAAAATAACCGTGATAATCACTTTGGCCATAACCGTGCAGCCCAACCGTCTTACCACAACAACACACAGGGGGAGCGACACTTCATCCTCTGCTCAGGACGCCATTACTCCACTTTATCTGTACATAGCAGACTGAGGTTTGCTGCTATATTAACACTCTGAATGTCACATACAGATCATTAACTGGAGGTGGTGAGATCTTAGGCTCGTGTCATCTCTACATAAATAATGTTTCCATCAGCATTTCAGCTCTGAGTTTAATTAGTTCATAGAGTCTTGTGGTCTGCATCCAGCTATGTGCCTAAAATGGTGATGTGCTTCACCCGCGTGTATTTACACCATCCATTCCCTCTCTCTCTCTCTTTCTCTTGCAGATTGTGATGTCAAACTCCTGGGTGCCGGGGTCACTCTTAAAACAAACAAAAACATAATTTGCTATCCTGGACGTTGCTGTTTTTACTTGTTTAAAACAGCGTTAAAAACTTTGTAAGAAAGTGCATATATTAAGCCACACTGTAGGTGTGATCCTTTTTTTTATTTTAGAGGCAAAGGAAAGAAAAAAAAGTTTCTACTGTCATAATGGCAGCCATGTTGGTAACACAAAGCATCCAAGGGAAAATGTATTTTCTTACACTTGTTGCAACAGATAACTGATATTTTGTTTATGTTTGAGTTGGATATAAGACAAAATATGAGGTTTGTCGTTCTCTTTCTTGAGATTTAGTTTTGAATAAAACAAAAAGCTATTGATTTTGATTGTAAAATCTGACTTCAGCTCCTCACACACACACACACACACACACACACACACACACACACACACACAGATAACTTATCTTTTAATTTGACAACTGTTTATCATACTGGTCATAACATGCTGCAGCAGAACATTTTTACCTCATTTGTTAGTGGAGAATTTTTAAAAAGGCATGCAACATTTATTAGTTTCTTTTTATCCGCTGTACCCATGTATAATGTTATTTTATGTGAATATTATATCTTCTTGTGAAGGACTATTTTTATGTTCTAAAGGAAATAATGGTAGGATCTGTAAAGATAGATTGGAGATAAATGTAGCTTAGCTTTCCTGTTATAAATATGGCAAGCTTGACAGTCTCCAGTTTAAAATAAAAAGTCCTTGTACATACACTGTTGGGCCGACATCACATCACACACTTTGATAATGTTTCACCAACATGGCTGCTTGGTCTGCGTCAAAGTGTCTGACCCACTGGCATCCAATTCATGTTTTTGTTCTGTTTTTGTTTTTTTTGTATTTCCCCTAGTGCATATTTTTGTCATATTGTAAAGCTTTTAATAAAAAAGGAAACAACAAGAAGTTTTCCAACTGTTTTCTTCCTCCTCTCTTTGCCCGTCTCTGTAGGTCTCATAACAACAAACTACAGTCAGCAGCCTCTTAGCTCCCTCCTAAAAATCCAAGTGTCAAAAAGACAAGCCTTGTGAATGATTAAGCCCCGTGGTCCAAGTCAGGCTGCATCTGAACCTGAGCCCTCTCTGAAGGAGAGCATGCTCCCAGCTGAAAATCAGCTCGCACTGGTGTCAAAGCGCCCAACCTCCAACACGGAGAGAAAAGCCCCTTTTCATCCAAAGTGTCACTGGGACGTAAAGGCAGAGAAGTCCTACCTTCAGACCAGGAGACAGGGCAGCCGCGGACCCTGCCTGGCAGCCTGCTTCATCCCAACCAGCCGTTCCTACCAGTGCATCCCATCCATGAGAGGAAAGGTCCAGATGGGACACGCAAATAAAGTTGATAAGTTGGCTGGTTGGATTTTCAGTGGTCAGTCCGGTTGTCACAGCAGCAGCGGACTCGTAAAAGAGTTGTGTTCTTTCTGTAACTGATCACTATTTTTGTGTATCCTATATAGCAAAGTGTCAGCTTTGATCTTTCCACCCAGAGGTGCAACTTTCATTTCATCCTGTCACATTTTAACGACACAAACATCCCATTTAAAGCCGAGACCAACATGGAAATGTTCATGAGGTCAAAATGAAAATGCCCACTTTATGCTTCACATGTGGCCAACGGCAGGCTTCACACCCATGTACAGTACCTTCAGTTTCATCTCATATTTAACGGCTATATGCCTGAAAGCTACGGAAGCCCATTTCCAGCAGTGTGATTTTTAATAAAGAAAGTTATTTAACTACATCAAAACAATGACTGATATCAAACAAATTACTTTGTATTGTCTCTTGGTATTTTGAGATGCTAAGTCACTTTGAGATAAGTCATTATTTTGAGAATGTTTCCCATTACTTTAAGATAAGTAAGTCATTATTATAATTATTTTGAGAAAGTTAATTAATTTGAGATACTAAGTCATTTTAAGCAAGTTTCTTATTGTCATTATTTTTGGAAAAGTTTCTCATTATTGTGAGACAGTAAGTCATTATTTTGAGATACGTTTGTCATTGTCAGAAGTCGTTATTTTTGATAGTTTCTCATTTTGAGATACTAACTTATTTTGAGACATTACCTCATTATATTGAGATACTAAGTCATTATTTTAAGACTGTTTCTTAATATTTTGAGGTAAGTTATTAGTTATTCATTATTTTGAGATATTACTCACATTTTGAAAATTGTTATTATTGTCAGAAGTCATTAATTTTGAGAAAGTTTGTAATTATTTTGAGATACTACAGTAAAACTTAATTTAAAGGCCTAGTCCCTTTCACTAGCCCAATGTGGCTACGTATTTTGACATATAAAGGCCTGTCTCAATTAGAGGCCTGGTCTGGTTGCCAAGCACTTAATTTTTTTTATAGAAGTTCTTCAGAAGTATGACAGGGGGTTGTTGGCTACCCCAGATTATGTTTACATTCCTTGATTACCCTATAAGTAATTTATATTCCCTTAGTCCATAAGGGTCATCGGAGCAAAAATAATCAAAAGAATATTTCATGAAAATTAATCCAACTTGTGAGTATTGTTTTCACAGGACAAAGTGGTGTTGTGTCGGTATGCCAGGTGCTGTAATCCTTGAGTGCCATAAGAGTAATATTCATATTGGTTTAAATGAACAATTTGATTCTATCTCCCATCTTTGCTGAGCAACTGTTTCGTGAAAAAGGAATTAAAGGTCTGTCCCAAATATAGGCCTGTTAATTTTAGTGATTTAAGCAAATAATAGCCAAGGCTACTAATTGAAGTTTTACGGTAAGTCATTATTTTGAGGAAGTTTGTACATATGTTAACTTATTATTTGAGATAAAGGAGTTATTATGAGACAGTTTCCCATGATTTTGAAGATAGTCATTACAGTGAGTTACAGGACCTTTTTTTGTTTTGCATCACACTGGCAGAAATGGGCTTCCATAGTCAACAGCATTTTCTTGGGTCTGCAGGAACTAACGTTGCTCTTTGTTCCCCCACCAGATAAAAACAGCCCCATTGAAGCAAACCAGTTTTCAGATCTCAGGCGCAGTGTCACCATCCGTCTTTCACACTTCACTGCACCGTTACTTTGACTGTATCCTCAGTTGCGTAGCCCTGCACGAAGCATGAAGCAGCCTCATAAAACCCACTCTGCGGCACATTTCACTGTACATTCCCTGTCACAGTAGCCTGATGCTGAGATGCTCTGTTTGTATTTGAAGCTAGATTTCTGAAGTTCATTGTAGGATTAACATCACCACCTAAAGGCAGCATTCACTCAAGTAATTCAAGGGGTCTTCATTTTGTCTGAGGGCTGTCGAGTTAATTTCCAGAGGAAAACACCCAGGACAGACCATCTCACCCACCACATCCTGCCCCTCCTCTGACCTTTTACCATTTAGTGTTCCTCTGAAATGCAAGTGAAGAATGTTAACTAGCTCTGTGCTCCTTTTAAACTTGACCTTTCTGAACGGGGTCAAGGGCAAGAAGGGAGAAAGCGAGACTGTTAGGCCTTCAGGGAAGGTGAGACTTTTACGAGGCTTAACTAACCCACATGTACTGTACCTTCCATACACGCACTGTCTCGTCACAAGCTCTTGTTTCTGTCAGTGGCTGAGTCTGTAAGTCTCTCTCCCCTTATCTATCAGCCACTTCTTCCAACATATTTCATTGAAGTTGACAGGTTGGCTCACATATGTCTCTCAACTCGCCCTCAAAGCATGGTTAAGTAATTGGATAATGGACTTTTCCACTCAGCATCAACTCAGTTATGTTGCGGTCTGCGGCAGCATGTCTGGGAGTAAACTTTGAGTGGGGACTGGGGAGTCTTTGTACCGTGGGGTTTGTATGAAAATTTTATAGCTGCATTTTTAGCATATTTGGGCACATTTTTGTAATCGGTGATTATCAGTTTTGTAGGAGGGGAGCAGTCATGAGATACAGTTGTCTTTAAGTTGTTAAAAACTCTTTAAATTTAGGCAAATGTTTCCGTTTCAGTCATTAAGTTTTTTTGTGGGTGTTTGCAGAGTTGAGAGATAATGTAGCTGCTGTCTTCTTTACTGTGTTTGTGTGTCTTTCACACAAATGTCCGTCACTTTGTAATCTGATGATGATGTGTTTCATCCACTGTTTGTAATCTCTATTGTATATTATGGCTGTCCAAATATGTAGAGATGAAAGATTTTTAGAGCAGTAGAAACTTTTATTTTTCACTCTTTGAACCAGCAACTAAGCCCGCCTGTATATTTTAACTGTCTATTTTTTCTCTTTAATTGAAGTGAACTCTACATTTTAGGTGAAATTGCCCTTTATATTAAAAGTGCTGCATATTGTGAGCATAAAGGTTTTGAATGGGGGTAGAGTGACACAGTTAACTCTTGTAAAGAGTTTCTTTTTTTTTTTTTCTTTTTTTTTTTTTTTTGTAAGAAACCAACCAGTTCAACATAACTTCTATATTGACATTGCATTTCTTGTATTATTTATTCATATCAATGAAAAGTTCTCAGTTTTTTTTAGTAATGTTGAGGAAACGTAACTGCAGATAAAAAGTACTCTATGTTTTTAACTGATTGTGGCAACTCCGAAGAGATTCTCTTTTGTACTTGATAGGACATTTCATCCTAGATAATAAAAGTAATGTTTTTGACACGAGATTTCAGAAGAGTTGTGTTTTCTTTGATTGCCTCTGCTCATGACAGACACGCTGCAGAGCGGTTTTTCTAACTTCATCATACAGGCCTGTCCAAGTTTGTCAGTGTGCATTGTACTATCATACAACTTGTGCACTTTTTTACCATGTATTTACTTTTAGAACACTTTCAAGAGCTGACATCATGAAGTGTTTTACAATAAAAAAATTATGTATAGCAACAGAAATATAATACAGACTGAAGAAAAGTTAAAACAACAAACAGAAATAAGTGACAAATATATGAAAAGACAAGTGTTAGAGTGGATCTTAAGGTGTCTGCAGGTGACTGACCCTACAGAGCTCTAAAAGTGATCACAAACATCTTATATGAACTTCTGAATTTGATGGGGAAGCAGTGTACAGACATCAAGCTCAGTGTCTCATGAGACCGTTTTGAGGACCCCATCAAAAGGTAGGGAAAAGCTGTTTGGACCATTTCAAAGTGACCCAGGGATGTTTTGCTAAGGCAGGTGAAGAGGGAGTTACAACTACCAAGACGGGATGAAATGAACGCATGAATAATCATCTCAGTCTCAACGGGCCTGAGCCTCAACTGGGGAAAAAAACAAGTGTGAATCACACACAAGATATTGGTCAAGAGTCAGGGTCTGGTCCATGCAGATTTTGCACAGAACATTTAACAGCAGGGGAAAGAAAACCGAGACCTTTCATTACTGTCAAGACGAGGCTGGCTGGCTGTGGCAGAACTGACATCTGTTTTGTCCGTGTTTAAGAAATTATCTGCCATTTTTTTTAAGAAGTTAGGTAGGTATGTAAAATGGAAAAATGATCAGGCTTAAAGGAGCAGTGTGTAGGATTTTGTGGCATCTAGTGGCGAGGTTGCAGATGGCAACCAGCAGAATACCCCTTTCCTCACCCCTGCCTTTCTAAGCCTGTAAGAGAAGCTGTAGAGGCCTTCAGGCAACATAGAAATGTAAAAGCCCTCTCTAGAACCAGTTGTTGGTTTGTCCATCCTGGACTACTGGCAGGCTCCATGGAAGACAACCTGCTCCCTATGTAGATATAAATGGCTCATTCTATGCTAATGACAACACAATGGTTCCTGGTTTCAGTTATATATTCACAACCAAAAACATAATTATGCATACTGTATTCCATTTCTGTCAATAAATGCCCCCAAAATCTGTACACTGCTTTTGTAAGTCAGATATAGAATTGAGTATCATCTGCATAGCAGTGGCAGGAAATATCTTTACTTAAATGACATACTATCCATGGCATCCCTGTGGTTCATGGTGGAGTTGAGAGCCCCATCATGAACTGCAACATGCCTTATTGAAGTCCCGCTGGTGACTTTTTTGCATCTTTGTTTTTCTAACGTCCTGTAAACTCTACTACTGTCTGTTTAAAACTGTTTAGAAAAGCCCAAAACTGCCCCAAAATGGACTTATCTGCCCAAGGAGAAGCATGCACAAGGCTCCTGAGTTTCAATGTAGTTTTAAAGGGACAGTTCACCCAAAAATCTAAAATACATATTTTTCTTCTTGCCTGTAGTGCTATCTATCAGTCTAGATTTTTTTGGTGTGAGTCGCCAAGCATTGGAGGTATTGGCTTTAGAGATGTCTGCCTTCTCTACTGTTAGCTGATCGAACACCACTGAGTTAGCTTACATTGCAGCTCAGCTAGGAAGGACGCCATTAATGTTTATATCTTGCAATGTCACAAGCACGAGCCTCTCATAGGTAGATGCGTGCTTCCCTCTGCACAATGATAACGGCTGGTGGGTGTAGTGCGGTAGAGGCAAAATTCTTCCTTCATCAAACTGCTCACAACAAGGTCTGTGGATTATCTGTGGAGTAATTGGTCATGATTTCTGGGAAGAGACATTGCTGTTGGGTTTTTCAAATGCACCACAAGCCAAGTGCCATCTAGTTCCATTATATTCGAGACAAGGCAGACATCTCCAATATCTCCAACACTCGGCAACTCACACCAAAACCATTTAGATTGATAAGTATTTTTGATTTGGCAGTGAACTGTCCCTTTAAGACCTATTGTTTACATGTACATGCACATACATTCATGTATTTTTTAGAATAAATTGGCGCCTAATAAAGTATCAACACACTAGTCATTAACAAATACAAAAACTGAGAGGGGAGGGGGTTCTGTGGGGACCCACAGCTCATTTTTCTCCTGGGGTCCCTCAGTGAGATAATCCAACACTGCACATCAGGTTCAACCCCCATGTCAATTATCTGAAGCTTTAACAGAAAAGTGTGTGTGCTTGTGAGTGCTGAACAACAAGGTCATGACCCCCAACACACTCATACAAACTCTTCCTGTGATCAAATTACGACATGACACATAAAAGCCACCTCCGAGGTTGACCTTTCACACTCCTCTCACACCCTTCTTTCTCACCTCCCTCTCTTAACTCCCCACTCAAACCGCTAAATGAATCCAGAGGCTCGCATGGACGCTGCAAGCGCCGCAGATGGCCACAAGCCCCAAGTGGTGTAAATCCACCACCCATCGGCTCCTTCTCTTGCTCCCCCCTTGTGGCTTGGGGGCTATCACACAGGAAGCAATTTAGAGACGTTCCCACCTCCCTCTCCTCTCTCCCCGCTTTCCCTCCCTCCTCCTTCTCCTCCTTTACATCCTCTGCGATGAGGAATGTCCTCCCGCTGCGATAGTAGCCAAGATGTGGAGCAGGCTCCTGTTTCCTGCCCGCCTGCATCTGTTCCCTCCAGCGCTGATCCCAGATAGAGGCTTCCTCGAGCCTGGGAACCGAGCGGCCGAGCTGACAGACGGACAGAGGGGGAGAAAAGAGGCTTAGCCCTGCCTGCCTTGACGTCCAAGTTCCCAAGTCAGTCTCTCCTCCCGCAGGCCAGACAGAGACCATGGTTGTTAAACTCTAATTAGAGCGTCTTGCGTTGGGGGCTCCTTCCCATGCAATCACTGGGAATGATAATGAGGATCAATGTTTCAGTCAGTGGGCAGATGTATGTGATAGCGCTGGTGAAGGCTTGGTTTAAAGACAAATAAATTCCTCACAGGCTCGTTGAGTACAAAACAAATATACATTTTTATTGGGTTTGTGTATGGTAAAGCAATGTAAGCATTCAGTGCAAGTTTTCCCTTTCATAAGAAGCATGAGCTCAGGGTCGTACTACAATCAAGCCAGGGATTTCTGATTAAATAAGAAGCTATCCCTTTAGAAAGACAGACCCAACATCCCCTCTCCTGCTTCAATCCCCTCCCTGTGTCATTTTACATAACCTCCTCTATTTCTCCTCCACCTTGCCCCCGTCTTCCTCCTCCTCTGATCTTGCCTACACTTTAAATGCCCCCCTTCTTGGAGGACGTGTTTGTGTGTAAGCAAGAAAATAAGGGCCGTCCCAGAGAGGAGCTGTGACAGAGGCACTTTTTCCGAGTCATGTGTCCAGGTGTGGAGAGGATCAGATTCCTGCGATTAGATTTATGGCTTAGTCCCTACAACAACACACCCCCTCCTCATTCAGCAAGGCCCCTTTTGATGTCCCAGTCTACTTGGGCAGATATTTCATCGTGGACACATAATTAAAGTTAGGAAAATAAGCCGCTCTCATGACAAGCAAAGGTCCTGTGCTCACTCATTCCCTCTCTTCCTTTTTCTCCCTCCTCCTCCTCCTCCTCCTCCTCCTCCTTGTTTTCCACCGAGGTTTGTTGCTGCTTTTTCAGGCCCTTCATTCCCTCCCTTTGGTCCTTGTAACAATAATAGTGCATTTCCTGCCTACCAATAACAACCACAGTGACAACATGCACGGGACTGAGCATTACAAAACAACACTGTTTGGTGCAGTACAACATTTTGCATTCATATCAATTTAGAAGCATCATTGATTAATCATAGGAGTCAACATGATTATTGGAAATATTGGGTTTGTATTAAGATCCAAGGTTCTAAATATACTGAGCAGCTGCCATTATTTGGAAAAGCCAGCATGCTTGTCTTGAAAATAAAGTTTCTCCTTGATGTTGTGTAAAAGTATTGATTTCTGTTTTTCAACTGATAAAAACGGGGGCATGCTTTGAAAAGCAACATAGGACAACAACATTTAACCGATAATCTTATCTGTATGCATGTTCATATGTGTGCTTGGATTATAGTGGGGATAAAGAGGTTGACTGCAGCACAAATATTGTCTTGTTTAACAAAAACACGCATGAACCAGCCATGAATGAGGAGTTTGAGTGGAGTTGCTATTTTGGGAATAATAAGGTTGGGGACACTCTTGTTTGACGCCCCAAAAGTTACAAAGTAATCATGGACAATCCATTTAAATGAAGCTGCTTGTGTTTTCTATCAAAGAAACCACAAGTCAGGAACTTTACAGAGGAGTAAAAAAGATAAACCAGGTTTAGGATACATCATAGCAGTCCGTATGAAAATAAATCCATGCCTTCCGCAAAATGTCTTTTGTCTTGCACAATACTGAGGGGTTATTAGTTACGATCAGTTCAGGTAAGCTGCAATGTCTCTTCCCCTGCAGCAGGGGGCCATAGTCCTATCTTTGGTTCACCTACACCTGGAGCGGGTGGCCTCCAGGGCTTTCTGGTGCCTCCGTTTGTTGAATCTCTTGACGTAGTTGTTGCTTCTCAGGAGGCCGTCTCCAGGCTTCAGTTTACCCCCCAGTAGGTTCAGGAGGTCGCTGGGAAGATGGCGCCGCCGGTGGTAGATCTGGCCCATTATAATGTATCTGGTCCCTAGGGAATGGTTAGGGAAGATGTTGACGTGAAAAAGTGCACAGTTGAGCATTTTTCATGTTTGCCCTAAACAAAGTGGATGCTGCTGCTTTTGCTGATCTCAGGGAAACATAATTCCCACATCCCACACAAGAAGACTTTGGTGGGGACTTGTTAGAGACTTCTTAGTTAATTGGTCTTGACACGTCTGCGTAAATGTCTCATGATGTACAACTTCTGTCTTATATCTGATCTTGAGTATCAGTCAAAGGTTTGCATTCATTAGATACACTTTCACAGTTACTACAGTTTCATTATTTCACTACACTAAACAGATTTTCTTGTCAGATCCTTTTGTTTTATGAGGCTTTTGTGCGTTCCCACTACACTCACCGAGCTTGATGTCAGGGCAGGGCTTGCTGCACTTGTAGGTGTCCAGGACCAGAAGGCGAACTTTGAAGAAAAAGCTGTCAGGGGTCACATAGAGACGACTCATCTTGTAGAAGCCGTCACTGCTCACCATCAGTGTAATGAGGCGTATGCCTTTACGCACCACATCAATGTCATGAACTATCCCATTGACAGCTGTTAAAGGGAAATGAAAAACATCATATGTCAAAATGCTGGAAATTCATACATAATGATTTTAGGTTTGAATGTACAATCTATATTTTAGATGCATGTTTTGTTAAGTTGGACATTTGGGAAAATATGCTTATTTGCTTTTTTTGCCCTGAGTGAGATGAGAAGATTGATTCCACTCTCATATTTGTCCAGTACATATGAAGCTACAGCCACGAGTCAGTTAGCTTAGCTTAGCTTAGCTTAGCTTAGCTTAGCTTAGCATAAAGACTGAAAACAGGGGAAACCGCTAGCCTGACTCTTCCCAACACTGACAAAAGCAGATTGGGCAAACCAGATAATTAATTAGTTTTGGAGCTTCTGCAGTGATGTGGGCGCTGCTCCGGACCGTCGTGGTGAAGAGGGAGTTGAGCCGGAAGGCGAAGCTTCTGATTTACTAGTCCATACGTCCCAACCCTAACCTGTGGTCATGAGCTCGGGGTAGTGACCGAAAGAATGAGATTGCCGAAATGAAGTTCCTCTGTGGGGTGGCTGGGCTCAGGCTTACAGATAGGGTAAGGAGCTCGGACATCCAGAGGGAGCTCGGAGTAGAGCCGCTGCTCCTCTGTGTCGAAAGGGGTCAGTTGAGGTGGTTCGGGCATCTGATCAAGTAGCCTCCTGGGCGCCTCCAGCTGGAGGTGTTTCGGGTACGTCCCACTGGTAGGAGGCCCCAGGGCAGACCCAGAACATGCTGGAGGGATTATATATCTCATCTGGCCTGGGAACACCTTGGGGTCCCCTGGGAGGAGCTGGAAAGCGTTGTTGGGGATAGGAACGTCTGGGGTGCTTTGCTTGACATGCTGCACCTGTGACCCGGCCCCGGATTAGGGGATGAAAATGGACGGATGGTTTTAAACATGCTGGTAGTATGATTTTTTTATAATTTGGACAGAGCTGGGCAAGTTGTTCTCCCCTGTTTTCATGAGAATGGCATCAATCTTCCCACTTCCAAAATGTTGAACTATTTCTTTAAACTACAAGCCTCAAAATTGATGTTTAGCTTAAATTTATGTTTAATTATGTTTTTGTTGAGTGGTTTTTGTACACATTTGAAATTTTCTTTGATATCCTTTTTTCCAACTGGCGCTCAGTATTGTCACATCAGTTCTTCATGGTTTTCTCCTGCAACTTGACTGGATGCTGTCGGACTGGTTCAAACAAATGGTGTAGGGATTAATGAATAGCGTTAATGTTGGCTGATTGAGGAAATGAAGGGAAATGAAATGATTTGTGACACGCTTTTTAAATAACATACTTTCTAATGTTTGGGTAAAAAGGTTAAAAAGGTATAAAGTGGTTTCAAGTCAGGCTCAAGTCCAAGTTGTCCAATGGTCATTGGTGTTTAAGTCCAAGTTTAGTTGAAATTCTTGTTTGATTTTGTAAAATCAGGTCTAAAGTCATCAAATTTGTGACTCGAGTCTGATTCAAGTCCAAGTCATGTAACCCGAGTCCACACCTATGAATTATTCTATAGCAACTGTACAATCAACATTTACTTAACTACCTCCATAAAGCCAGTGATTTGTTCAAAATGTTCAGGGATGTTTATTTTTTGGGGGAAAAACAGACTTATATGAACTAATCAGTACTGAAACATTAAAGTTCACGCTCACTGGCCAAGGCTTCAGGCTCTTCCTGCATGTTACTTTGTCTGCCTTTGACAAACTCTTTTTGTCTCTCGTGGTTACATACCAAACTCACTGTAGCAGTAATACTCCCTCTCCTCCTTCTCCTTCCTGCACTCGCTCATGCAGAAGGCATCATGTGTGAAGTCGGACTCTGTGGAGAAGAACACAAGCAGAAGACAGGATGAAGGGATGAGAGTGTGAGAGAGAGAGTGACTGTCTGCCAGACTCTCATTCCAGCGTCATTAGCAAAGAACAAGGTTGTCATTACAAAACCCAGGCGTTGCATTCCTCCGCATGGGACAGGAGGGGATGGTGTGCGTGTGATGGGATCACATCCGTGTTACATTTTCCATCTTAATTACAACATCAGGACCTTCTTGTTCACTCTGCATCAGTTTCTTTACAACCTCGCTGCACACAAAGGGAAACACTGACAGCCAGACTCGAGGGAGGTGGTTGTAATTAGTGGCAAGAGATGTTCACTAACTACCAGTGGAGGGTTCAAACTATCATCACTGTCATTATCACTCTGAGTGAACTCTATGAACTGTGTGTTAGTGTATATGATGTTACTTATATGACTGACTTATCTTCACAGGAGTAAAACATATGTAGATATTTTTTAGGTATTTTATGAGGTATTTTGTCATCTTTATTAGACAGGAGACAGCGCAGAGTGGCAAATAATGTGGAAGTTGCTGGATGCTATGTAGCAAAAGTCCCTAGCCAGACTCAGTGGACTTGTCGATGATATGATCAGCGTGTTAAGCCCATAGGCCACCAGGATGCACTAAGAAATGTAGCTTTTGAGCATTTTTTTCAGTTTTTGGTCAAGGGCATTTTGGAAACTTTAGTATAAAAATCAAGTTTTGACCCTTTTTGTCATCAAATGTCACAAGACTCTTTTAACTTTGTAAGAAATATAAATTACATGGGGAAAAAGTGGAATAGAAATGCATTTTGTTTTAATTCAGCGACTTAAACACTAAAAAATTGTGTTCAGTTTGAGTCATTTGTCACTGTGAGGTTATTACTGGTAATAAATACTGTGATACTGAGCATCAAAGGTTTTCCCAGATGTTGAAACTCTCTTTTGAAATATGTAATCCCAAATGGGAAGCTCAAGCCCAATAAAGTAACGTTCAAAGACACTGTGCACAGCTCTGTATCTATACACAGGTCAACCTCCAAGGTCAGGACACAACATATCCTCCCGTACCTCGTCTCAGGATGTCGAATTGGTAGAGCAGGCTGGAGGAGCGCCGGTTGAAGAGGACAGGTGGTCGGCTGTTGTTCCTGCTCGCTGCACCGATACCTGACTGATAGAGACTGGACTTCCCCGGCCGGTTCTCTTCTGGGTCGAGCCGTCGGTTGGGGGGATCTCTGCGCGGGGAAGGGGCTGGTTGGTGCGGCTGAGCCTGAGGCTGTGTGTGGGATGGACTCCTGGGTCTGGAGTTGGGGTGACCCTCTGGTTCACTCTGCTGAGGAGGACTGATGTTGGACTGGGCGTCCTGGTTGGTTCTCTGCACAGTGCGGTTGGTGACAGCAGCTGTGGCTCCAGTCAGGGGAGTTTTGGGAAGCAGACCAGCAACTTCTGCTCTGGTCTTCTCGCTGTTGTGCTCCACCAGTCGGTCGCTCTTGGGGCCCTTTTTGCTCTTGTTGTGGGGGCCGTGGTGGCGGGGGATGGGGGCCAGGTCGGTGTGCTTTGGCCAGACAGCAGAGGGTAGAGGATGGAGGGTGAATTTGGACTCCCCGGTCTTGCTGGTCTTCTCCAGGAGCTCGTTGATGGGCAGGGAGGGCTCTTTAACCACCAGCCGGCTCTGGTTGCTCGGAGCTGGATCCACAAAGCTGGGCTGGCCCTTTTCTATCAGGGTGTACAGCTCTGGGTTGACACAAGCAACAAGTTGTACTTCAGTAAGACATTTCCTGTAATAATAAAGCATCTCTGCTCCCATAATAAGCTATAATACTGCATTCATTCGCTGTGGCTGTTCCTTTCAAGGAGGCAGATTTTTGTGCCAATATAATATATATATATATATATATATATATATATATATATTTATTTGTGCCAGTATTTTTTAAAGTTTTAGTGTCAAATAACTTCTTTCCTGCATTCTGGTGAATTTTCATGCACAAATTTGTACCTTTAAATTTATTTTGTTTTGTAAAAATAAATGTCTTCTGCCTCTTTTATGTGTTGAAAATGAACATGTTGTGTTGTGTCCCCAGCGCCCCCTTTACAGTCTGTACCTATGCTTGAAACACAGAATATTTCCTGGTTCAGGATCTTTCTTGAATGAATAAAGTGGGGAAAATGTTAGTGTTAGTACTTATCTCGACAGTAGGACACTCATAGACATTAGCATGAGAGGGCTGGAAATGTGGAACTTTATAAGAATCTACAGCTCAGACATTAGATTTTAAAATGAACCAATTGTAAAAGTCAAAGTTATGAAATTCTGATGACTATTACCCACTTAGCATTTTATCTACGTGAATTATTATATAATTGTTTTGGTATGTTTTCTGATGTTAAAATTGGTAAGGAAGTTTAGGAATGAGTAAATCCCCTCTGAGCATGCTGCTGTGAAATTATACCTGTACAGTTAATAGACCTCAATAAAAAGAGCTTAACATGTAAAGCAACAAGTGAATGTGTAATAAGAAAAAAAACAGTATTTCTCCACCACATGAAAATGTACCAAACTACAAATAAAAACAATTTCCACTCACCGTTGACAACATGCTCCTCTGTCCTGTAAAGAGGAAAGCCCAGAAACAAGAGAAACAGAATAATCCCTGCCATCCTGGATGTTCAGCTGGATGTTCAGTGTGGACACATATGTTAAGGTCTGCCTCACAGAGGGGATTCCTGGGATTTTTATACAGCTGCTCAGGAATGAGATGGGATGTGGTGGAAAGGGAGCTGGTGGGACGTCCCTAACATAGAAATAAACACTGTGACATTACACTCCTTCCATTCATAAATGGATTCTAAAAGGGCTCCTGTTGTTGTTTACACTGTAAGAGGGGAAATGCTGATCTGTTGAGATATTCTTTGTTCTTTTGTTATTGTTTGTTGATTTTACAAACTAGGATTTATCTTACAGGACACAGGGTTTACCTTCTGGTATGTGTTATCCAACAGAATGTTTACAGTCGTCTGTGTGGATGGTTTACTTGCATTTTTGATGGGTAATTTTATAAAAATATCCTCCACTCCAGGGCAGCTGATAGCAACCTCTCTGCTGACATCAGCCCGCCTTGATGAGAGGTGGAGGTGACAGTGTACCTGAGTGTATTCAATATCAATCAGTCTTCACTGCCCTCTGGTGGTCACATGCAGGAACTGCGACACATCATTAACTGTCAAATTAACAATTTCCGGACTTATACTTTCTAAATACAGGCACCAAAGTAAAGCAATCTGAAAATAACACAAATGAACGTTTTTATTATTCATTGCAAGAACAAAAAATACAGTGGAGCAGTCAGAAAACATACAAGAATGATTAAATATTGCTGCATCTTGTAGAAACAGCATTCAACAGTTTAATATTATGAAGATATATTGAAAAAATAATTTAAAAACGACAGGTAAATACAAAATAATTCATATTTGTAGAAAGACAAAGGTAACAAAACTAATCAAATAGTGACATACTGACAGGCTGACTGAGATTATGGTCGACTTTAATGAGTTTTTTTCAATAGTTTTGAATTCTTCCACTGTATCAAGAAAATATTTACCAGAAGTGTGATTACTTGCTATGATTTCTGCATTGATACTTTTTTTTGATGCATTTAATGTGCTGCAATCTTCACTATGACCACAGGAGGGCAGTGAAGACTCGTGAGTCTAAACACTCTCAGGTCACCTGTCACCTCAACCTGTCATTGGCTCCGTTTACACTGGGTATTAACATGGGTTTTGGGTGAACCAATCACAAGAGGACAGCCAAGACACATAGCTGTTCACACCTGTGCCTATCACACTTCTCTGGCTAACAACCTGTGTTCAGACGTCGTTGCTGCCTCGCCTGTATAGTTTTTATATCCACACTTTTGCTAGCTGTCATGTCAGTGGTTGTTTAAGACCTATTGAAAACATTGCTGTCAGCAGATTTCAACATGTCTCCTTCCACAGGGCAAAATGATGGATAGTCATGCAACACTTCGCCCAACTCTACATAAAATGGGTGAGTTATGAGCATTTGTGCACCGCCGTCAAAACAACCATCATGTCCTGCATTGATGTAGTCCTGGTTGGGGACGCATCAGGACGCATTAGCATTTACACTACGTAAGATATGTCATCAAGTGCGTCCCAGACCACCGGAGCAAGTGGTCTTAGATTGGCTCACAATGCATCTTGGTGGTCATTTACACTTGTATTTAGCACTGACTACTTGTGACCGGATCAACCAAAACACATGTTAACATCAGGTCTAAACAGGGCCTTTAAGACAAGCTCATGTTAATTTTGTTGGCTCCGTTTCGTCAGTATAAATAATGCTAGCCTGCCTTGATGCTTGGTGGGTTAAAGCTCATTAATACTTCCTTTATTTAATTAAAAAAATCTGTTCATTTCAAACATGTAGTAACCCTCACTGCCCACATATATCCTTGCATCCCTTATGTTGACATAGATTTACACTGGGTGGCACTTGAGGTCAGAGTCAAGAGTTTCTGGCAACAACAAACATGGCGAAGGTGGAGGAGGTCGTATGTTGTACCTTTGAACGGGGGTAGCGTTGGAGACAGTGGTGGTCTGTGAGGCCATGAAATATATTGCGACATGTGGTGACATGAGAATTTTTTCGTCTGTGTCTGTGAGCTTTCAGAAGACTTACAGAAATACAGATGAAATGAATGCAGAGTATGGACATATTTAGGGTTGTGTCCCCTCTGCCCCTCCTAAAATATACACCTATGCTGCAAACATAGAATATTTCCTGGTTCAGGATCTTTCTTAAGCTTCTTCTTAAGAAATCAAAATCACCCCTGGGAAGAATCCACAAGAAAAGCACTGGAGCACTCAGATCACTTGTGATGAATTTATTTGTGACTAACTTTTTGACGCCAGCTGCGTCTTCATCAGAGTCAAAACTTGTGAGAAATGTTTGTATTAGTAGCCTACTTATCTGGGAGGTTTATCAGTAACTCTCATCGTGAGAACTTAACACTTTAATTTACAGTATGACACTCACTGACCTCAGCATGAGTGTGCTGGAAATGTGTAACTTTCTCATACATTAGGTTTTAAAATGAACCAATCGTAAAAGTCCCTAAGTTATGAAATGACTGTTGATGACTGTTACCCACTTAGCATTTTATCTGTGAACCACATTACGTAATTGCTTTGGGGTTTAACATTTCCTCAAACGTTTTTCATGTCAAGGACCCCTAAATTGATATGTACATCAGGTCATGACTCCATTTGATAAGATTGTGCTTCTGAGAGGAAATGAAACCTATGATCAGAATTGTCACTCTTTTGACTTTTACTCACATTGGGCTCACATCTTTAGTGAACTGAATAGTGAAAATGAACTATTTCTCATTTTTCTGGGGATGACCATTGGTTGAGAACCACTGGATTTGGGTACCATCCTATGGCACCATCAGACAAGAGACAGGGGCAAACATGCTTAACTGTGTTTTATCAGATGAGTGGAACTTTTGGTACTTTTCTGTTACAGATTCTGCATTTTGATTTCTTATATTCTAGCTCTGGTTAAATTCCACTTATGTGACTACTCTTACTTGTAGATTGGTTTAATGCTGGAGTTAAACTGTGAAAAGACATATTCATCTGTACATGCCATATTTTAATTTGTCTTATTTGACCTTTTCAGCATTGCTAATTGAGATTCAGATTATAATTTATGTACCCCCCACTGCCCAGTTAAAACAAGGTTTTTACCAGCACAGTTGTCTTGGTGTCGAGCATACTCACCTTGCTAGAGTGACAGAGTTGGTACAATGTAGACCAATTTGGGGTTTTATTATTTACCAAGAGAATCCCATATCCCATCATACCCATCACTGCGAGGAGCGCCCTGTCTTTTATATATTTAAGCCCTGAAAAGGAGCTAAAGACGACCCAGATGGGACTCGAACCCACAATCCCCAGCTCCGGAGGCTGATGCCTTATCCATTAGGCCACTGGGTCATTACGTAGTTATATGTGGAAAATAACTATTATCAAACTGTAAGAGCAAATAAAAAACAGTGGTGAGACGTGTCTTTGAGCACCTAAAATTTAATGACAATTTGTTATGTGAGGAAAATGTTACGCTCGGTACATTGGGTAGTTCAGACATGGCCGCAATGGTTCATAATGAAAGCCTACCAGTGCACAAAGATGTGGAAGCTTTGTCTCGCGATACTACCAGCGGTTGCCTTTGACAACGGGTGTGTTGTCTGAAGCTTTTTTTTGTTACCAGTGGGCTAGGGGGAGGGGCTTGTGGTTCATCTGACCAATCAAAACGCAAGGAAAACAGGGTGTTATATACGTGACGTCACATTTGGTGTAAAATTTTTTTACAAGAAATCTGAACGGTAAGCGTGTCGCACATGTCGTGTGACAAAATCTACATTTTAAATAAACGTATTGTTAAGGTTTTAGTTTAAGTTATTGTGTTGCTTATAATTTTATGGTTTTATCGTTGTTGTTGTGAATTTCAGCGGGGTTTGGGGTGTTGGTTTATCAGACAGGCTCCGTGTGCGGCGGGGCCACATGGTGTTAGATAACCGGCTTTGCCTCAAGAGAAGCGGCCAGTTAACTGCTAGCGTTAGCTTATCCACCGCCCGTTAGCTCACTTAAAGTAAAGCAGAGGAAGGAAGTGAAATTAGCCGTTTACATGGCTGTTTAATTTTTAACGTTGAATTTTCATCTCTGAACAGGGAGTGTCTGTACGTTATTGCAGTTGTCTTGTTCAACGGTCAGGAATGTCAGCTGGCAGCGACAACGGAGCTCGTCTCACCCAGTTCAAAAACAAAGGGAAAGATGCCAACGTAAGTTCCGCGACCAACAGCCGACATTATAACATTAATTATGTCGCTTATCGAAATAAATACAACCTTATATTCACATGGGTACCGACTTCTTCAGGAGCTAAGGCGAAGGAGAGCGGAAGTCAACGTAGAGCTACGTAAAGCGAAGAAGGATGATCAGATCCTGAAGAGGAGGAACGTCCAGACTCTTCTGGAGGATCCGACCTCCCCTCTCCAAGAGAAAGACCCCAACGCTCAGGTACCCAGCAGCTGATCCTGGTCAGCTCTAATGCCCCTTTCACACACTTTCTATTTCATTTGGCTTGGGACAGTAAACAGGAGGCACCTGAAATAACACAACTGGTTTTGCATGTCTGAAACATTTGATTGTATAATTTAGTTGGCTATGATTGAGCTGCAGCAAGCTTAATGCCAACACCCAGCACTATCCTCAGAGAATAGGTCTAGTCAAATTGAACCAGAAAGGCAGATAAAAGCTTGGTCTGTTTGTACTCATTATACAAAGTGAAACTTGGAGCAAGCTCAAAGCATAACTAAGGTTTCACCCACACTTATATGTTTTCATTTAAAGTGCACATGTGTTTACCTGAAGATAACAGTGTGAAGGTTGTTCCACTTCATTTTAAAATACTTCCTCATTGCTTAAAGAGTCACTGTCAGTGTTAATCAGTGTATGTTATGAAGGCTTTGAATTTGCATTCAGTACCTAATAATCCTGAAAAAAAAAAATTTTTAGGTCAAAACTATTTTTCCCGCTCTATTTTTACATTTGATCTGCACTCTCCTGACACTGAAACCTTGACCTAGAAATG